CAGCAGCACCAGCGCCAGGGTCCTCAGAACCAGCAGTAGCTCCAACGCCCGGGCCCGCAGTACCAGCAGCAGCTCCAACGCCCGGGTCCTCAGCACCAGCAGCAGCTCCAACGCCCGGGTCCTCAGCACCAGCAGCAGCTCCAACGGCAGCAGCGGGGTCCGCGACACCAGGCGCGCCACTCCGAAGAGTGCAGCGGCGCACGTACCACTCACGGATCCGCTCACGGGAGGGGAGCTCCCGGCTAGGAGGAGAAGCACTAGCACCAGTCCGAGTAGGACGCCTGGCCCCAGAGGTACCTCTCCTGAGGCTGCAGTACTGTAAGTACCACTCACGCAGCTGCTCCGAGGAGAGGGCTCCTCCAGGTGTAGGACTCTCAGGCTCAGGACCTCCAGACTCAGAACCCCCAGACTCCGGACTCTGCGGCTCAGCACCCCCAGGCTCAGCACCCCCAGGCTCAGTACCCCCAAGCTCCGCACCCCCAGGCTCAGCACCCCCAGGCTCAGTACCCCCAAGCTCCGCACCCCCAGGCTCAGCACCCCCAGGCTCCGCACCCCCAGGCTCCGCACCCCCAGGCTCAGCACCCGCAGCAGGACGAGAGTCGACAGCTACCTCAACAGGCTCAACCGGGTCTACCTGAGACACACCTGAGGGAGCGGCACCCTGAGGGGGGAGGGGGTCTACGACAGCAGCACCTGGCGCGAGGAAGAGAGGCGGGGGGGGGAGCGGGGCAGTGCGGTAGGGGAAGAGGCGGTAGTAGGGGACGGACTCGTCAAAAGTGACGTCCTGAGAGGGCAAGACTCGGCGCGAGGTGGCGTGGTAAAACTGCCAACCAGGCGCGTCCGGGACAAAGCCGAGGAAGACGCAGGGAACAGCACGGGAGGAGAGCTTGTCCGCAGACGTATCGCGGACAAAAGCTCGAGATCCCCAGACCCGGAAACGCGACGCATCGCCAACCTCCCCCGTCCACAGCAGTGTGGGCGAGGTCTCCGGCAAGGAGACACGGGGCCAGAGGTTGAGCTGATGCGCAGCGTACCGGACCGCAAACGGCCACAGAAAGTGGGGGGCAGCCGCATGGATCAAGGAGGTACGGGCGACCTCCATGACCAGGCCAATGCGGCGCTCTGCAACCCCATTCTGCTGTGGAGAGGCCGGAAGCGTGAACGACTGCTCAATGCCGTGGTCAGCACAGTAGGCTGCCAAGAGGTCGGAGGAGAACTCACCACCTCTGTCAGAGTGCAAGCGCAGGACAGGAAAGTCCGAGTGAAAACGCTCGCTGAGCTGGAGACGGGCTCTGCGGATCCAAGGGATCAAGACATCAGGGACCTCACCCTTGGTGCGCAAGGGGAAGACCGTGGTGTAGCGCGAGTAGTCGTCAACAACTATCAGGAAGTACCTCTCCTGACCCTGACCACGGACGCGGGCTGGGCCCCACACGTCCATGTGGAGCGTCTGCAAGGGAGCAGTAGTCGGGGGAAACGAGGAGGAGTGAGGAGCGGCGCGCTGCCGCCCCTCGACACAGGGAAGGCAGGGAGGAGCAGGCGAGGGCGGGAGGGGAGGGAGGACCCTGGGAAGACCAGAGACAAGGTACCGGGAGTGCATGGCACGAAGGCGCTGCACAGACGGGTGACCAAGTCGGTGGTGCCAGAGGACAGTCTCGTGCGCCAGAGAGCGACACGAGCAGGGGGCAGAGAGCTGACCTGACGCGGACGCAGACGCAGACGCAGCGACCTGAGGGGACTCAGTGGTCAGTGTGTACAGGTCCGACCCCGGCTGCCGTGTGAAGGTAGCCAAGTGGCGGCCCGTACGAGCACACGTGCAGTGTGTCACGCGCTCGTAGGCAGGGGTGAACTGGTGAACACCCCCGTCCTGGAGTGCACAACCTGCCACCAAGTTCGTAGAGAACGAGGGGAGGTGGAGACCTGACAGTGTGCCCGACGGGACCGCAGGACAGGGAAGGACAGTGGAGGAGGTCGCAATGACCGGACCCCCAGAGGGGTCAGCGAGGGAGACAGCAACTGGCCGAGTAAGCGGCTCAAGGGCAGTGCGGTCACGAAAGAAGCAGCGAGAAGCACCTGAGTCCAGCGTGAAGGTGTGCAGTGCTGCAGTCGACTCAGTACCAGGGGGGGCAGACGTACAAGCACCTAGAGCAGCTGCCTCACCAGCACCTGGGGTAGCAGACACGTGAGTACCTGGAGCGGCAGACGCACTAGTCCTAATGCCCGGGTCGGGCGGCACACACAGGTACTCAGCACCCTCTCCACTAGTAGACATCACATACATAGCAGTTAGAATAGCATCAAAGTCTAGAGCATAGATATCAATCCCCTTCTTCAGGAGATCAACCCAGCGGGGCAGCTTAGTGGCCTGAGGGAACTGAACACGCCAAGCGTCGTTGAGACGAGCGAAGCAGCGCTGTGTGGCATGCGGTCCCCCACACGGCTGACCAGTGCGGTCACCAGTGCGAATGACGTAAGTGCAGCTAAAGCCACCCCCCCCCCCCGTGCTGAGAGTACCACTCACGGACCTCCTGGGGCGACGGAGTGTGCTGCTGGCCCTGGCCACCGCCAGCGCCTCCACGACCACCACCGCCGCTGCCACCTCCTCGACCACCCCAACCCCTGCCGCCGCCGCGTCCACTGCCACCCCCACCACCGCCTCCGCCCCTGCCACCTCCCTCGCCGCTGCCGCCACCACCCCCACCACTGCCACTAGCCCCTCCAGTCGCGCCACCACCCCCACCACCGCCACCGCCCCCACCACCGCCTCCCCCGCTGTCACCGCCACTACCCTTGCCCCCTTTGCCCTTGCCGCTGCGGCGCCCGCTCAAAGCAGACGCAGTCACGACCTTCTCAGCACCAAGGAGGTCGACAGCAGCAGCAGAGGCGACAGAGGGAAGAAGGGGGGAAGGAGAACACCCCTCAAAGAACGGGGTACGGGGGTCGCCACGAGAGGCACCTACAGCGACTATGCTAGCCTCAGCTGCAAGGAGTTCCTTCTCGAGGAGGGCAATGGTGAGCTCAGTGGGGCAGCGAGCTAGGAAGTGGTCCCTGACTGAGCGCAGAGTGTCAGGGAGGCGGGTGACTAGGTGGTAGAGAGTGAGCCAGAGCGGGGGTGGGTTCTTGGCAAGGAACTCATCAGGCATGGCGGCGCGGAAGCGAGCTTCACTAGTGCGGAGGTGCGTAATGAGGTCAGCGACTGTGTGGAAAGAGGCTAAGTCGGGGAACAGGTAGGGAAGAGAGAGACGGCCTAGTGCGGCAGAGGCCGGTGAGGAGTAGCGGGCAACGACAGCAGTGTACAGTGCCTGTGCAGTCTTGTGCTGCCCAAAGTGCTCGCGCTCATCTATCGGCAGGGAGTTGCGAATAGCGAAGCGAGCGTGGGCGTCACGAGTCTGCCACTGTGAGCATGTGGTGCTGTCAGCAGTAGCAGTAGGAGCAGTAGCATGGCCTAGGGCGTGATCGTACAGTGAGATGTCCTCCTTGGCAGTGAGCTGTAGGAAGAGGTGTAGGTCATCTAGCCAGGTTTCGAACCTCACTGGGCGGCCCTCAGTATCGAAAGCTAGCACAGGAGGGCTAGCCATAGCAGTAGTGGGAGTAACAGTAGAATAGCAGTAATAGCAGTAGGTGCACCCCAGAAACAGTAGGCAGTGCGACTCAGGTAGGGCGGCTCCGTCCAGTACAGGCGGCGCGGCTCGGTTCAGGTAGGGCGGCGCGGCTCGGTTCGGGCGGCGCGGCTCGGTTCGGGCTGGGCGGCTCGGTTCGGGCTGGGCGGCTCGGTTCGTGCGGCTCGTTCTGGCGGGGCCGTTCAGGGCCTCTAGGGGCGAGCGCGGGGCCGTTCGAGGCCTCTAGGGGCGAGCGCGGGGCCGTAAGGGGCCGCTAAAGGCGAGCGCGGGGCCGTTCGGGGCTTGTAGGGGCGAGCGCGAGGCCGTAAGGGGCCGCTAAGGGCGAGCGCGGGGCTGACGGGGGGCCTCTAGGTAGGTGAGCGCGAGGCCGACGGGGCCGTTAGGGGCGATCGCGGGGCCGACGGGGTCGCTAAGGGGCTAGCGCGTGGGCCGACGGGGCCTTAAGGGGCGGCGCGTAGGTCGCTAAGGGGCGGGTCGCGGGGCCTTAGTGGGCCGTGAAGCACGAGGCGCCCTAGGGCGTAGTAGGTAGGTAGGTAGGTAGGTAGTAGTGGGCCCTAAAAACGGTCCTAGCGAAGGACCTGCTCTATACCATGTTGAGATGAACAAACAGGAATGGTCGAACTAACAGTGAAATGAGTACAAGTACCTAACCCTAGAATTGTGTACCCCCTATAGACTAACCCACTGTAGCCTAAACAAGCACAACATATATAATGTTTGACAGCAAGCACCAGACAACATCTTCCAGGGGGAGAACAGCTTCGCAACAGATCTGGATGAAGCTGATGTGGCAGAAGAAGTGGAAGACAATCAAATCGGAAGCGCACCACCCTTCATCCTCGTTAGTGAAGACTTCAACACTCCGACATTCATCCCGACTGACATCGACCCGAATGAAACACTACAAGCTCAACGCAACGTTGAAAGTGTTGAATTGCACTCACCCATGGAAGAAGACCCGAACCTGGACATCTCACGTGACAGCATTGACGGAAACCCCGCCGACGATGACGTGGTGGAAGTCACCGACACTGCAGGATATGGCTTGACCGAGTTACGCATACTCGGGCTCGCCGTCGCCGTTCGCGGAAATCAACAGCTCGCTGAGCCCACGACGGTTCACCAAGCTCTGCAGGTGCCCGACAGTGATAAGTGGAGAGCAGCCCAGGCCTATGTTACACCATGGGCTCATAATCGGACTAGTGGGCCCACCCCAAATTCTGTCCATCTTCGTATAAGCGCACCCATTGTATTTTAGCCCTGTTAATAGTGAAATCGCCACTAACGCGCCTAAAACAATCGCCACTGACGTGCCTTGCGACATCCCCCCTGGCTCGCTTGTAGAAATTGCCACGGGAATACACGTAAGCGTTGGAGAAGATGCTTTTGGAAGACATTCGCAGCGACACGGTCAGTTGGGGGTTGGGATTCAGTCAGGGTTAAGGGCCATTGTCACTTGTGGCCATTCTCAGTTGGTTTTGGGTCAACAAAAAAACCGCTTCAGTTGGGGGCTGGGAATAACTCAGGGTTAAGAACCATCGTCACGTGTGGCAAAACCGAGTTGGAATTTCATCACATCCTATCGCATCACATCGCATCTCGTCACACCACACTCTACCTCATAATCTCGAAATCTTTACCCCTCCACTTCCCCCTTCCCAGGTTGACTTTGCACCCAACTTTGATTCATCCACCAACGAGCCAACAGTGCTGCCAGCTCGGATCCCTGTGCTTCTGCTCAACGGCTCTCAAGGGATTGCGGTACGTCTAATGCTGCTTTCCGCACTCGTGTATTTCTGAGGCAACTGAGGAAACACTCACTCGGATCCCTGTGCTTCTGCTCAACGGCTCTCGGATTGCGGTACGTCTAATGCTGCTTTCCGCACTCGTGTATTTCTGAGGCAACTGAGGAAACACTCACTCGGATCCCTGTGCTTCTGCTCAACGGCTCTCAAGGGATTGCGGTACGTCTAATGCTGCTTTCCGCACTCGTGTATTTCTGAGGCAACTGAGGAAACACTCACTCGGATCCCTGTGCTTCTGCTCAACGGCTCTCAAGGGATTGCGGTACGTCTAATGCTGCTTTCCGCACTCGTGTATTTCTGAGGCAACTGAGGAAACACTCACTCGGATCCCTGTGCTTCTGCTCAACGGCTCTCAAGGGATTGCGGTACGTCTAATGCTGCTTTCCGCACTCGTGTATTTCTGAGGCAACTGAGGAAACACTCACTCGGATCCCTGTGCTTCTGCTCAACGGCTCTCAAGGGATTGCGGTACGTCTAATGCTGCTTTCCGCACTCGTGTATTTCTGAGGCAACTGAGGAAACACTCACTCGGATCCCTGTGCTTCTGCTCAACGGCTCTCAAGGGATTGCGGTACCAACATCCCCCCGCACAACTTGACCGAGCTTGTGGACGCGCTCTCAGCCTTCATTGACAACCCTGCCGCACCCTCCCCATCTACTCCTGTAACCCCTTATGTACCCCCCTGCACCCCGCTACACCCCGTTGCTCCCCTCCAGGTGGGCATGGCGACCAACATCCCCCCGCACAACTTGACCGAGCTTGTGGACGCACTCTCAGCCTTCATTGACAACCCTGCCGCACCCTCCCCATCCACTCCTGTAACCCCTTATGTACCCCCCTGCACCCCGCTACACCCCGTTGCTCCCCTCCAGGTGGGCATGGCGACCAACATCCCCCCGCACAACTTGACCGAGCTTGTGGACGCGCTCTCAGCCTTCATTGACAACCCTGCCGCACCCTCCCCATCCACTCCTGTAACCCCTTATGTACCCCCCTGCACCCCGCTACACCCCGTTGCTCCCCTCCAGGTGGGCATGGCGACCAACATCCCCCCGCACAACTTGACCGAGCTTGTGGACGCGCTCTCAGCCTTCATTGACAACCCTGCCGCACCCTCCCCATCCACTCCTGTAACCCCTTATGTACCCCCCTGCACCCCGCTACACCCCGTTTCTCCCCTCCAGGTGGGCATGGCGACCAACATCCCCCCGCACAACTTGACCGAGCTTGTGGACGCGCTCTCAGCCTTCATTGACAACCCTGCCGCACCCTCCCCATCCACTCCTGTAACCCCTTATGTACCCCCCTGCACCCCGCTACACCCCGTTGCTCCCCTCCAGGTGGGCATGGCGACCAACATCCCCCCGCACAACTTGACCGAGCTTGTGGACGCGCTCTCAGCCTTCATTGACAACCCCGCCATCACCACGGAGCAGCTCATGCTCATCTGCCAGGGGCCGGACTTCCCCACTGGAGGGGTCATTCTCGGCACGTCAGGGTATGTAGGCGGAGGGAAGGTGGGTGGGTGGGTGTGTTAGTTGTTGTTGGCAACCCTCCTGCCATCACCACAGAGCAGCTCATGCTCATCTGCCAGGGGCCGGACTTCCCCACTGGAGGGGTCATTCTCGGCACGTCAGGGTATGTAGGCGGAGGGAAGGTGGGTGGGTGGGTGTGTTAGTTGTTGTTGGCAACCCTCCTGCCATCACCACAGAGGAGCTCATGCTCATCTGCCAGGGGCCGGACTTCCCCACTGACGGGTCATTCCCGCCACGTCAGGGTGTGTGTGGGAACAGTGGAGGGAAGGAAGGGTGAGGCTTGGAGAGAGATAGGCTGTTTGGGGAGGCACGGCGGGAATGGGTAGGTAGCGGCGGGAATGGGTAGGTAGCGGAGGGAATGGGCGGGATAGTGGTGCGAGAGAGGGCATATGTGGAGGAGCTGGGAGGTGATCTTCTAGGCGCCTCAGGACTAGATCCACATTTCTCCTCTAGAATAGATCTCTGTGTCTCTTCTCTCCCCTGCCAAGCAGCATGGAGGAGGCGTATCGCACGGGAAGAGGGTCCATAGTGGTGCGAGGGAGGGCGTATGTGGAGGAGGTGGGCGGAATGTCCTAGGTGCCTCAGAATAGATTCCTGTCTCCCCTCATTCCCCCCGAGCAGCATGGAGGAGGCGTATCGCACGGGAAGAGGGTCCATTGTGGTGCGTGCGGGGGAGGGTCTATAATGGATTCCCGCTTCCCTCCCTTTTCCCCCATTCAGCATGGAGGAGGCGTATCGCACGGGAAGAGGGTCCATTGTGGTGCGTGCGGGGGAGGGTCTATAATGGATTCCCGCTTCCCTCCCTTTTCCCCCATTCAGCATGGAGGAGGCGTATCGCACGGGAAGAGGGTCCATAGTGGTGCGGGGGAGGGCTTATGTGGAGGAGCTGGGAGGAGGGGGAGTGGGGAGCAGAGGCAATCGGATTGGCATTGTCATCACAGAGGTGCGTGCTGATGGGTGATTGCTGAGTTTTGTGTCGACTCTAAGGTTGTTTGCATGGGAATTGGGTCGACAGTGGTGCGGGGGAGGGCGTATGTGGAGGAACTGGGCGGCGGGGGCGCATGGAGCAGAGGCAACCGGCTGGGGATTGTGATCACAGAGGTGCGTGAATGTGCTGGGAGGAGTCTGACTCTGGATTTGATGTGTGATTGTGGTAAAGTGGGACTTTGAGTTTGTGATTGTGGCGAGGTAAGCCTCCCCCCGCCCTTTCGAAGCTTGTTCTTGTTGACCGAACCTGGTGACCACGCACTCCTTCCGCTCCCCACCCCCCCCCTCAATCAAACAGCTCCCGTACCAGACGAACAAGGCCGCCCTGGTAGAGAAGATGGCAGAGCTGGTGAACAGCAAGGTGGTGGAGGGGGTGAGTGACATCCGAGATGAGAGCGACCGGGGGGACTTACACACCTCACCCTCCACCCTAATCTCCCACCTTGCTTTCCCTGCCCTCCCTTCCCTCCTATCCACCAAATAGCTTCCATACCAGACAAACAAAGCCGCCCTGGTGGAGAAGATGGCAGAACTTGTTAATAGCAAGGTGGTGGAGGGGGTGAGTGACATCCGCGACGAGAGCGACCGGGCGGGCATGCGCGTGGTGGTGGAGGTGAAGCGAGGTGCCACCCCCATGGCTGTGCTGGCATCGCTGTACAAGCACACTCAGCTGCAGTCACGCTTCAACTGCAACCTGGTGGGGTGAGTAGCAGTGTGGTAGTGGGATGAGGTGGCGGGGGTGACAAGGGGTGTCATGTCACCTGGCCACGCCCATGCCTGTGCTGCCATCGCTGTACAAGCACACTCAGCTGCAGTCGCGCTTCAACTGCAACCTGGTGGGGTGAGTAGCAGTGTGGTAGTGGGATGAGGTGGTGGGGGTGACAAGGGGTGTCATGTCACCTGGCCACGCCCATGCCTGTGCTGCCATCGCTGTACAAGCACACTCAGCTGCAGTCGCGCTTCAACTGCAACCTGGTGGGGTGAGTAGCAGTGTGGTAGTGGGATGAGGTGGTGGGGGTGACAAGGGGTGTCATGTCACCTGGCCACGCCCATGCCTGTGCTGCCATCGCTGTACAAGCACACTCAGCTGCAGTCGCGCTTCAACTGCAACCTGGTGGGGTGAGTAGCAGTGTGGTAGTGGGATGAGGTGGTGGGGGTGACAAGGGGTGTCATGTCACCTGGCCACGCCCATGCCTGTGCTGCCATCGCTGTACAAGCACACTCAGCTGCAGTCGCGCTTCAACTGCAACCTGGTGGGGTGAGTAGCAGTGTGGTAGTGGGATGAGGTGGTGGGGGTGACAAGGGGTGTCATGTCACCTGGCCACGCCCATGCCTGTGCTGCCATCGCTGTACAAGCACACTCAGCTGCAGTCCCGCTTAACCTGGTGGGGTGAGCGACAGGCTCCCCTATGCATGGTATGGGCTATCAGTAGAGATTTCTCAGTAGAGATTTCCCAACCTGTTCCTCCCTTCCCCATTCCCCCACTCCCAGTCCTCCCATCCCTCCCATTCCCCCCATTCTTCCCACAATAATACCCGTTTCCTCTCCACCCCCTCGTCCTGCTCTTCCCCTCAGGCTGGTCAATGGCGGGCCTAAGGAGATGACTCTAAGAGACTTCCTTCGATCCGTTCCTCCCTCTCCTCCCATTCCTCCCACACCATACCGTTCCTCTCACACCCATCCTGTCTTCCCCTCCCTGCTTCCCCTCAGCCTGGTCAATGGCGAACCCAAGGAGATGACTCTCAGAGACTTTTTCCAGGTAAGACAGAATCCCCAGAATCCGACAAATATGTATTCTCTCTCTAGTGTTTGGTCACACAAACCTAGATTTTGTTGAACCCTGGTCCCATTACCTCGTTTCTCTCCCTCCCTTTGCCTCCCTACATCTCATTCCCATCCCTCCCTCGCTTCCTCCTCCTTCCATCCTCCTTTCCCCAACCCCCACACACATTCAGGTCTTTCTGGACTTCCGCTGCCAGGTCATCGAGCGCCGAACCTCATTCCAGCTTCGGAAAGCAGAGGATCGGGAGCACTACGTCCAGGTACGTTCGGTTCCGCATCCTTGCCAGACGGTCTGCATCCAGTCCATTGTTCCCTCCGTTTCTTCAGTTATTTCTCTTCCCTTGCATCTCCTCGTTCCCCCTTCCCCCATACCACCTCCCGTCTCCGTGCTGACATCACCTCCTCTCTCCTTTCCAACGTCAACTCCCCACCCCTCCTCTCCGCACACACCATCCAGGGCCACCTGATTCGCCTTGCAAGGCTGGATCGTCTCGTCATGCTCAAGGCTGCTGCCACTCCTTGCCGTCCCGTCCCATCCCCTCCCCTCCAACCTCCTGGGCGATCTTAAGGCGGCTCATCCCGATGCTCCCGTTCCTTCTTTCAACCAACCCATGGGGTCTGCTGATTCGCCTCAGAAGCCTGGATCGAATGGTGCACATGCTCAAGGCGGCTGCCACTAATTGCTGCCATGATCTTTCATCCCGGCAAACATTTAGGCTGCTTAGAAATCATCCTCCCGTGCCTTCCACTTCTCAGGGTCTACTGATTGGCCTCGGAAGTCTGGATGAAATGGCGGACATGCTCAAGGCGGCTGCCACTCCTTACCTTCACCTCCCCTCCCCTCTCCTCGCTCCGCCTTCCCCTCCGCACACCTCTCCGCCCACACCTCCCAGGGTCTGCTGATTGGCCTGGGAAGTCTGGATCGAATGGTGGACATCCTCAAGGCGGCTGCCACTCCCGCTGATGCTGCTGCCACCCTCCAGCAAGGTGCGCGTGCTTGCTTGGAGCCCACGGCCCCCTGCTGGTTTGTTCCTGTGTGCATCTGTAAGGCGGCTGCCACTCCCGCTGATGCTGCTGCCACCCTCCAGCAAGGTGCGCGTGCTTGCTTGGAGCCCACGGCCCCCTGCTGGTTTGTTCCTGTGTGCATCTGTAAGGCGCCTGCCACTCCCGCTGATGCTGCTGCCACCCTCCAGCAATTGAATGGTGACTAAACTGTTGTATTCCTCCCCCCACCGTGCATGTGCTGCTGGCATCCATGGGGATATGTGTTTGCCTGTGTGTACGATATGTGGATGCACATGTGTGTGTACGATATGTGGATGGATGCACATGTGTGTGCGCGAACGCATCCCAGCCCTCGGCTTATCCCCCATACAGGCTGATGCTCTTCTCAGTACACCACTCCGGCGCCTCACATCCCTCGAAGTAAGTTGTTGCAACACCATTTCCTCCTCCGAGTGTGTCACAGTCACAGCCACGTGCATGCATCTATGTCTACGTTTTCTCATTCCGTTTTCTCCTCCATCCATGTGAACCCCTCCTCCATCCCCTTTCACCCCCTCCTCCATCCCCTTTCATTCAAAAAGGACGAGTTTGGGGGGCCGAGGAGGACGAGGATAAAGACAAATCCCTTGTTGTGCTCCCTTCCCTTTCAACCCCACCCTTCCCCATCAGGTATCGAAGCTAGAGGAGGAGCACTCCCGTCTGAAGGCAGACATAGCGGACCTGCAGGGGCTACTGGCGAGCAGAAAGAGAATCCTGCAGACAGTGAAGCGCGAGGCCCTGGCGCTCAAGGACGAGTTTGGAGGGCCGAGGAGGACGAGGATCGAGGCGGATGGGACTGCCGGGGACTTGGATCCTTCTGACGTCATTCCCAATGCCACCGTGCTGCTGGTATGTTCTCGTGTGTGCGTGAGCTGGGATGTCTGCTGCAAACGGCCTTGTGTTCTCACGGACGAGTTTGGTGGGCCGAGGAGGACGAGGATAGAGGCGGACGGCACTGCAGGGGACTTGGATCCTTCTGACGTTATCCCCAACGCCACCGTGCTGCTGGTATGTGCTGCTGCTATGCTTGCGTGTGTGTCCGTGTTAGTGTGTGGGTCGGTGTGTGAGTTGGGTCGGTGTGTGAGTTGGGTCGCTGTGTGAGTTGGGTCGTTGTGTGAGTTGGGTCGCTGTGTGAGTTGGGTCGTTGTGTGAGTTGGGTCGCTGTGTGAGTTGGGTCGGTGTGTGAGTTGGGTCGCTGTGTGAGTTGGGTCGCTGTGTGAGTTGGGTCGTTGTGTGAGTTGGGTCGCTGTGTGAGTTGGGTCGGTGTGTGAGTTGGGTCGCTGTGTGAGTTGGGTCGTTGTGTGAGTTGGGTCGCTGTGTGAGTTGGGTCGGTGTGTGAGTTGGGTCGGTGTGTGAGTTGGGTCGGTGTGTGAGTTGGGTCGGTGTGTGAGTTGGGTCGGTGTGTGAGTTGGGTTGTGTGCTTCAAACGGCCTTGCCTGTCCTTCTCCCACTTTCTACCAACTCTTTTTCTCCCTTCAGAACCTGAGCAGGCGGGGGTATGTGAAGCGCATGGCAGCAGACACCTTCTCGGCCCAGAAGCGGGGCACCGCGGGCAAGTGAGTCAGAGCCACATGCCACTCCCTGACCTTCTTTCTCCTTCCTCCCTTCCCTCTCCCACTCTCTTTTCCCTCTTAGAACTTAAGTGAGCGCGGGTATGTGAAGCGCATGGCAGCAGACACGTTCTCACCGCAGAAGGGAGAGACAGAGGGCATGGCAGCCAGTTATTCAGAGAGCCACATGCGCTTCCCTCCCCCTTTTCTTTTCCCGCCTCCCCTCTGCCACACTCCTGCCCCCGTCAGAACCTGAGTGAGCGCGGGTATGTGAAGCGCATGGCAGCAGACACGTTCTCAGCGCAGAAGGGAGAGACAGAGGGCATGGCAGCCAGTTATTCAGAGAGCCACATGCGCTTCCCTCCCCCTTTTCTTTTCCCGCCTCCCCTCTGCCACACTCCTGCCCCCGTCAGAACCTGAGTGAGCGCGGGTATGTGAAGCGCATGGCAGCAGACACGTTCTCAGCGCAGAAGAGGGGCACAGCAGGGAAGTGAGTCAGACAATAAGAGTGCCACATGCCTTTCCCTCCCTTTCATCTTTCCCCCAACCCTTTTCACTCTCCTCCCCACCTCAGAACCTAAGCGAGCGTGGCTACGTGAAGCGCGTGGCAGCAGACACGTTTTTGGCACAGAAGAGGAGTACGTGCCTGCAAGTGTGTCCACAAAAAGAGAGCCACATGCCCCTCCCTCCCTCTCTTTCTCCTTTCCCCCATTTTCCCACTGACATTCCAGAACCTGAGTGAGCGGGGGTATGTGAAGCGCATGGCAGCAGACACGTTCTCGGCTCAAAAGAGGGGCACAGCGGGCAAGTCGGGTGGCAAGCTCAAGGCAGACGATGCCATGGCTCGCTTTGTGGTGTGCCGCACCCACGACACCGTGCTCTTCTTCAGGTCGATTTAGTGCTATCCCTCTCTCTCTGTGTTTTGAGACGTCTCAAAACTACTTTAGTGCTATCCCTCTCTCTGTGTGCACTGTGCATGAGGCAGAGCACACCGTGCTATCCCTCTCTCTCTGTGCATGAGGCACATGGTCTTGGGTAACTCTCTGCCTACGGGTCTCTCTGTGCTGCATTGAGGCAAGTCGGGTGGCAAGCTCAAGGCGGACGATGCCATGGCTCGCTTTGTGGTGTGCCGCACCCACGACACCGTGTGTGTCCCTCAGTGCGTCTCTGTCCCCTATTTTCCGTTTCTCCGCTTGTATAAGGGTCTTGCTCTGCCTTCTGTGCTTTGTGTTGCTGCCTGCAGTCCCAGAGGTGTGGCCTACACCATGAAAGGTTCTCTGGGACGTCTTAAAGCCATGCGACCTCTGTTCTGCTGCCTTCTGTTCTTCCTCCGTGCATCGTGCTGCTGCCTTCTGTTCTTCCTCCGTGCATCGTGCTGCTGCCTTCTGTTCTTCCTCCGTGCATCGTGCTGCTGCCTTCTGTTCTTCCTCCGTGCATCGTGCTGCTGCCTTCTGTTCTTCCTCCGTGCATCGTGCTGCTGCCTTCTGTTCTTCCTCCGTGCATCGTGCTGCTGCCTTCTGTTCTTCCTCCGTGCATCGTGCTGCTGCCTTCTGTTCTTCCTCCGTGCATCGTGCTGCTGCCTTCTGTTCTTCCTCCGTGCATCGTGCTGCTGCCTTCTGTTCTTCCTCCGTGCATCGTGCTGCTGCCTTCTGTTCTTCCTCCGTGCATCGTGCTGCTGTCTGCTTTGCAGTCCGCGAGGAGTGGCCTACACCATGAAAGCTTTTGGGATAACTTTTGAAAAATATGTACATTCCATGCTCTGCTACTCTGCCTTCTGTTCCTCTTCTGTGCGTCACATTGCTGTCTGCAGTGACCGAGGAGTGGCCTACACAATGAAGGGTTATCAGAATCACTTTTGAGAATTCTCTCAAGTAATTTCGGTGCCATCTGTTTCTCTTCCGTCCTTCCTGTTGCTTCCTGTGCCTGTACTGCAGTGACCGGGGAGTGGCCTACACCATGAAAGGGTATCAGATTCCCGAGGGCTCCCGCACTGCCATCGGCTCTCCCATCTCCCAGGCACGTCGTCCCTTCTCCACTACCATTCTGCTACGTCTTGAGTCGACCCAAACATCCCTCTCCCTACTCTTCTGCTACGTTTGACTAGTCCCGGTAAAGCTTACCAGTCATGCGTCTTGCTCCTCCCTCTCCCCTGTTTACCTCTTCTTCCCCCGTCAGATCGTCCCTCTGCAGGACTCAGAGCGCCCCATCTCAGTGCTGCCAGTGGGGGACTCTGGTGGGGTAAGGCTTACCAGTCATTCATCTTGCTCTGCTCCTCCCTCTCCCCTGTTTACCTCTTCTCCCCCCATCAGATCGTGCCTCTGCAGGACTCAGAGCGCCCCATCTCAATGCTGCCAGCCAGTAGGGGACTTCTCACACGACGCTGTCTGGTCATGATGACTCACAGCACCCTACCACCCCCCACCCCACCCTTTCTCCCCAAACACCTTACTGCCCCTTCGCCACCTCTCATCAGATCGTGCCTCTGCAGGACTCAGAGCGCATCACATCAATGCTAACAGTGGGTGACTTGCCAGAAGACGCCCATCCCGTCATGATGAGTCACAATACCCCAACCACCCCCTCCCCTCTCTCTCCCTAAACACCTCCCCGTCCCCCCTTCTTTTCCCCTCCCCCCATCAGATCGTCCCTCTGCAGGACTCAGAGCGCATCACATCAATGCTGCCAGTGGGGGACTTCTCAGAGGACGCCTATCTCGTCAGGATGACCCCGCGGCACCCCCGATGAACCACCCATTCGAGCCTCCTCTCCCTTCCCAAACACCCTCCTGAATCCCCCTTGGCATTTCATCAGATCGTCCCCCTACAGGACTCAGAGCGCATCACATCGATGCTGCCAGTGGGGGATTTCTCAGAAGACGCCTATCTGGTCATGATGACGCGAGGGGGCTTCATCAAGCGCACTGCTCTGCATGCGTTCAGCGACACGCGCAAGAGCGGTCTCATTGCCATTCAGCTGGTACGCTGTGTCTGTCTTCCGTCTGTCTGCACCATCTCGTCATGATGACTCGAGGGGGCTTCATCAAGCGCACTGCGCTGCATGCGTTCAGTGACAAACGCAAGAGTAGCCCCATTGCCATTCAGCTGGTGGGTCTGTGTGTCTGCATGCATCACATGTGTGCCTAGGGTCTGTCTGTCCATCTGTCCGCTGTCCGTCTGTCCATCTCTCCGTCTGTCCATGCGTATGATGACTCGAGGGGGCTTCATCAAGTGCACTGCGCTGCATGCGTTCAGCGACACCCGCAAGAGCGGTCTCATCGCCATTCAACTGGTGAGTTTGTCTGTTGATGCTGGCTTATCTCCATATAGTTGGTAGGTCTGTGTGTATGCACCTGTGTGTGTGTGCCAGTCGAGGTGGGTCAAGGTGAAGCAAGGGAGGAAACTGAGCTGATTTTTGAGGCGCCTCAAAAAGCAAGGGAGGAAACTGAGCTGATTTTTGAGGCGCCTCAAAAAGCAAGGGAGGAAACTGAGCTGATTTTTGAGGCGCCTCAAAAAGCAAGGGAGGAAACTGAGCTGATTTTTGAGGCGCCTCAAAAAGCAAGGGAGGAAACTGAGCTGATTTTTGAGGCGCCTCAAAAAGCAAGGGAGGAAACTGAGCTGATTTTTGAGGCGCCTCAAAAAGCAAGGGAGGAAACTGAGCTCTGACAAGCCCTGAGGAGAAAATGGCTTCACCACATTCCCTCCTGCATTTCTTCCTATACACCTCACGGGATCCCTTTCCACCACATTGAACTCCACTCTGCCCTTCCCCATCCACGTGGCACCCATCCCTCCTAACGTGCGGCAGGGCGACGGCGATGAGCTGGCGTGGGTGCGGAGGGCGACAGCTGGCGACTCCCTATTGGTCGGCTCGCAGTTTGGCAACATCGTTCGCTTCGCGTGTGACGACGACCAGCTGAGGCAGAGTGGGCGCACGGCGAGGGGAGTGAGGGCCATGCGACTGAGGGAGGGGGACATCGTCGCTGCCCTGGAGATCGTGCCATCCGTCGCCTCGTGAGTGCCAGCTGTCGCCTCGTGAATGCCAGCTGCCGCCTCGTGAGTGGCTGCCTTTGCTGGCCGTGCCTTTGGTTGCTCACGAGCCTCACGGCCTCAGCTCTGCTCCACCTGTCGAGGTGCCTCAGTCTCTTGGGGCGCCTCATGTATTGCCTCGGTCGGGCTTCTCACGGCCCATCTCTTCTCCGCTTGTGCAAGTCCCTGCTTTAAATCGACTTTGCTTGCCAGTCCCTTGCTTCCTTACACCAACCTTGCCTTGCTTCCTTCCCGCCCTTCCCCTCGTCACAGCGAGTCCAAGGACGGGGGCCCATGGGTGGTCATGGCCACTCGTAACGGGCTGGGTTAGAAAGCAATTGCGTATGGCTGTGCTGTGCGTATGCTAAGCTCTTCTTTCTTCCCGGCCTTCCCCTTCTTACAGCGAGTCCAAGGACGGGGGCCCATGGGTGGTCATGGCCACTCGCAACGGGATGGGCAAGCGTGTTCCCACGAACCAGTTTGCCAACCAGCGGAGGGGGGGCGTGGGAGTCAAGGGCATCAAGGTGAGTGGATGAGAAAGGGTGAGTGTGGTTTTGATTGGGGGAGTGGGTGGGTCGTGTTTGAAGGGGCGTCAGTGGGTTTGCGTTCGACTCATGTGTTCCCACGAACCAGTTTGCCAACCAGCGGAGGGGGGGCGTGGGAGTGAAGGGCATCAAGGTGAGTCTGGGGCGAAGGGAGTGCGGGAGGGTGTGGTTCATGCGTATGGGGGTGGAATTGGCAGTGTGGGGACAATGCCGTTTCCATGTGGTGATGGGCTGGGCAAATGTGTCAACCAGCGGAGGGGGGGCGTGGGAGTCAAGGGCATCAAGGTGAGTGGATGGGGCAAGGTGGGTGTGGATGGGGCAAGGTGGGTGTGGATGGGGCAAGGTGGGTGTGGATGGTATTGGTGGGGCCATGGGTGGGTCATAAATGTCAACACACGTGGGAAGAGATGATTCGAATGCAAACCAGAGGCTATGGGTGTCAAGGCATTGAGGGCCCCATGCCCACCTGTGCTTCTGAGAATTCTCAAAAGTACCACAAGCATTTTCCGCTGTCCCTCCCATACCTCAATGGTATGCCTCTCTGGGTGTAATGAGTCGTGTTTTGAGTATACATGACTCAAAACACGACTCCCATACTTCACTGGTACGGCTCACTGGTAGTACCTCCCATTCTCACCTGCACGTTATCCCGACCTGAACCCCCTCTCCCCTTGTACCCCCTCCCCCCTCCCCATTCTGCATCTCCTGCAGTTGGGCCAAGGGGATGCACTGGTGGTGCTACGTCTGGTGGGGGAGGGCACTGCTGACAGAGACGGTGAGAGGGGGAAGTGGTAGGAGCGTGGGAGGAGAGTGTGGGAGAGGGGACGAGAGGGCAGGAGAGGGTATGATTGGATAGGAAAAGTTAATTCTGGTGGCACTGCGTCTAGTTGGGGAGGGCACTGCTGACAGAGACGGTGAGAGGGGGGAGTGGTAGGATGGGGGGAGGAGGGGGGGTTGATGGGGTGAAAGGGCAGTGCTGCACTCGTGGCACTGCGTCTGGCGGGGGAGTGGAGAAAGGGAGGATAGGATAATCTTTGAAGGTGTTTGTGGGTGGAAAGGAGAGGGTGCACGTGCTTCTGCAACCTTCCTGCTCCCCCTACTTTCCCGCCTCTCTCACGCTCTCTCTTACATACCGACCGCCCTCTTCCTCCCGAAATCACGTTACCCTGCCCTCTCCCCTCTCTTACTCCCCAAATGCGCATTTCCCCTACCCCCTGTCCGCCTCGTCCATCCCACACGCACTCTCCTGTCTCCACCAACCCCCACCCCCTATCCCAATCCCACCAGCCACTGACACTACTACCGAGGCAGCTTGTATGGAGTACGGGGAATTACTGGTGGGCAGTGACGGGGGAATCATCAACCGGCTGCGAGCGCGAGACGTCCCCATCCTCTCCTTCCCTGTCCACTCATCCCCATCCTCCATCCTCTCCCCCCCATCCTAGCAGCCACTGAATACACAATGGAGGCAGCCGCCGCTGCTGCTGCTATGGAGTACGGGGAGCAGTGACGGCGGCATAATCAACCGGCTGCGAGTGCGGGACATCCCCATCCTCTCCCGCACCACCCCCTTATTCCCCATCCCCTCATACAGCCACTGACGCCACTACCGAGGCAGCTTGTATGGAGTACGGGGAGCTGCTAGTGGGCAGTGACGGCGGCATAATCAACCGGCTGTGAGTGCGAGACATCCCCATCCTCTCATCCCTTGCCCCACCAGGCGTTGACACCGCCACTGAGGCAGGTGCTGCTATGGAGTACGGGGAGCTGCTAGTGGGCAGTGACGGCGGCATAATCAACCGGCTGCGAGTGCGGGACATCCCCATCCTCTCCCGCACCACACGAGGATGCCGCCTCATGCGCATAGCCTCGGGGGATAGCCTGGCGTCGCTTTCACTGGTGCCGGGCGCTGCAGAGGGCGAGTTGGAGGAGGATGGCGTGCCGTTAGTAGTGCCCGAGGGAGGGGTGAGCGATGAGGAGAGTGAGGAGGAGAAGGTGGAGGGAGAGAGCAGGGTAAAGGCGAAGGTGGTGTAGGGTGGGCGGTCAGGTGGATGAGGGGTGGAGGAGGAGGAAGAGGAGGAGGAGGGGAAGGGATGTCGCCTCATGCGCATTGCCTCGGGGGACAGCCTGGCGTCGCTTTCACTGGTGCCGGGCGCTGCAGAGGGCGAGTTGGAGGAGGATGGGGTGCCGTTAGTAGTGCCTGAGGGAGGGGTGAGCGATGAGGAGAGTGAGGAGGAGAAGGTGGAGGGAGAGAGCAGGGTTAAGGCGAAGGTGGTGTAGGGTGGGCGGTCAGGTGGATGAGGGGAAGGAGGGGGAGGGGGTGCCGTCTCATGCGCATTGCCTTGGGTGACAGCCTGGCATCGCTGTCGCTGGTGCCGGGCGCTGCTGAAGGGGAGCTGGAGGAGGATGGGGTGCCGTTAGTAGTGCCCGAGGGAGGGGTGAGCGATGAGGAAGGAGGAGAGGAGATGGAGAGTGAGGAGGAGAAGGTGGGTGGGAGCAGGGTAAAGGCGAAGGCAGTCCAATAGTTGGTAGCGTGGCCTTTTGTTGAGGGTAAAACAGAGCACACAGAGAGCACAGTGCAAGCCTCGCGTCACTGTCGCTGGTGCCGGGTGCTGCTGGGGGAGATTTAGATGACAATGAAGTGCCACTGGTGGTGCCGGAGGGAGGGGTGAGTGATGAGGAGAAGGGGGAGAGTGAGGAGGAGAAGATGGAGGGAGAGAGCAGGGTGGTAGTTGGGATGTAGGGTAGAGAGTGGTTGGATCTGTGGGTAACGAGCAAATGCTCAGCAGCACTGACAAGACTTGACTGGGGGTTTCACTTTACGAGTCTCTTTGCTTTGCATCACACCAGGCCAGGGGCTTCAGTTGTTACTCGAGAGGTGCAATTTGAAATCCACTTGAACTTTCCATGCCTGTATTGAAAGTGCCATTACAGTACACTAAGGGTGCATTCCTGCCTGGACATTTGTGTCTCAATCGTTTTGTGACGCGAGCAAACAGCATAAAACGTACCATGTCACAAACCCGAGACGCGTTTCAGCGACCATTGCTGTATTTTTCATTGGTCAGCGTGAAACGCGCTGACGTCGCGGACGAGTTGCAAATTGACCCGTCACTGGTAAAAAGTCGCACGCGGTTCGAAATGTCAATGCTCCTGGACACCCCACAATGCGAATTTCGCGCGCGTAAAAATACCCGCGCGTCGAAACCACACCCCAGCCAGGCGGTTGAATAAAAGGGTGTACAGTCATTTGCGAAATCCAATCAAATGCGCACAACTGTACATTTCGCCTGGTCGCCTAGTGTCGCGATGCATTCAATTTTTGTGACGCGAGGTTCCCAAAATGTTTCGACGCGACTCGGGGAAACGGGGATTGAGACACAAATGTCCAGGCAGGAATGCACCCTAATCATATTGAAAATTATATGCAGCTATCTTCACTACAACCTAAGTGGGGCATCCACAGTGACGACGTGGATAACAAAGATAAGGACAGTCAAAGTCTCAGGTGCAGCAGGAACCAGGGACGGGAGAAGAGGACAGCAGTTCTCAGGTGGTCTCCTCTCAAGTGGCGTTGGTCCCAACCCAAGCAGTCAAAACGTGAGTTGCTTTGAGAAATGTTGAAAGCACAAGGCCCTCTCATGCTCATTCACTCCTAGTCCTGCAAGCAACGTGCACAGAGAACGCCAACGGTTGGGACAGAATAGGGGGACAGAAAAGATCACTGAAAGGGAGCACAGACAGAGCCCTGGCAGCATGGGAAAGGGGGGGTGGAGGGTGGGGGGAGGAGTGTGGGTGATTGTGCCACGTGGACATTCAGGATGCAAGAGGAGTGAAGGCAGAGCCAAAGACAAAGGCAGGGGCAGAGTCAGCAGGGTCAGCTGCGGCACAGCAGGGACAGAATGGATGGCAGGGATGGCAGGGATGACAGGGGACGGCAGGAGAAGAAGGAGCAGCTCTGGCAACAGCGAGGGAGAGGGGAGGGGAAGGAGGGAAATGCAGCATCTGGCCGCCTAGAATGCAGCGCAGCCGGTGTAGGCAGTTCTTGAGGCGTCTCAGAAGGCGATTTTTTAGGCGCCTCAAAAACAGCATATGGCTGCAGCGCAGTCGGTGTAGGCAGAGCCATTGCATGCAGCCCCGTACCCTGCTTACCAGCCCCGCTTACCCGAGGCACTACCCAGGCGTCTCAAAAACCCTCCCTCTATACCTGCGGCAGTTGATCCGACGACCCTGATGCACCAGTAGTCGTGGGAGGGACAGGAGCAGGGGCAGCAGGGGCAGCCCTGCTCCCACCCTGGTTACCTGGGGCAGGGCACTATCGAAACATCTAACCCTCCATACCTGCGGCAGTTGATCCGACGACCCTGATGCACCAGCAGCAGCGGCAGCAGCAGATGGGACCGGGGCAGGGGCAGGCGCAACGGGGGGCGGAGCAAAAACGGCAGGCGCAGCGGGAGCAGGGGCAGCGGAGGCGGCTTTAGCAGCAAGCGGGGCGGAGAATCGCGGCACGTGGCCGTCGAGAATGCGCGAGCAGTCGGTGTAGGCGGAACCGACGCCGCAGCCGGCGCCAAAGGCAAGCGCCGCCCAGCGACTCGTGGGGCTCCCTGCGCGGCGAAGGAAGGGGGAAGTGTTGACGGAGGGGGAAGGGTGGAAGGAGGGGAAGGAAAGGAGGATGCGGAGAGGGAACGACTTGAGCATGCGCCAAAAGGCGAGAGCAGTTGGTGTAGGCGGAACCAACGCCGCAGCCAGCGCCGAAGGCGAGAGCCGCCCAGCGACTCGTGGAAGACTCTGAGGGGTGGCGGGAGGGGAAAACGAGGAGGGAGGGAAATGAAAGGGGAGATGCGTGGGAGGGCGGGGGGGGAAGGGGGAGGGGAACGGCGCGGGGGAGGGGAACGTAAGGGGGCATGCGTGTGGGGGGGAGGAATAGCTAGAGCGGTCAAGCGTCTCGTGGGGGTCCTTCAAAACAAGACGGATCACTCACTAAAGAGGACGAGGCCGGTGGCGGCGCCCGCGAGCGAGCTGTAGACGACTCGGCGGAGCGAGAGGTCGACGCAGAGATCCCATTTGTCGTCCATCAGCAGATCCTGCGCGCGCCGACTCGGAGCAGCCATGGCTGCCGATTCCGATTCCTTTTCGTCCTTTGTTTCTTTCTTCCTTTTTTTTATTCGTTTCGCTTACTCTTCCTTCCCTCTCCTCGTTCTCCGTTCAACGGTTCCGCGACGGTGGTAACCTTCACGAAGCTCCTAGCTGTTCGCGACGGCTACACGGCGCCCCAAAAACCGGTACGCGCAGGCTTGTGATACGAGACTGGTGGTGGAGATTCGCTGGTACTACGGATTCGAGCGCAAAAAATATCTGAGATTCGTGCGCAAATTAGGCTGTATTTGAGGGAATACGGACTCGCGGAAACCAGCAGCAGCTTCGGCGCAGCGTCTTGCGCGACGAAAGATCGGGGCGCGACGGGGATGCCGCTGGTTAGAACGGCTTAGAAACTGGGCTGGCCAAAGCGACTGGCGGAATGCGGTGTCGGAAACTAGGGCAGGGAGGAAAACGCTTGGGGGAGGGGGAAGAGGGGAGGGGAGAAAGGGGAGGGTGGGGGAAGGATGGTTGGGGAAAATGGGGGTGTTTGTGAGGTGGGGGGAACGGTTGGGGAAACTGTTGGAGCAGCTGTGCGGGGACGTGGAGGGAAAGTGATTTACAGTAGCATGAAGATTATTTTCCCTGTTTTCTGAGTTTTAGTGAAGGTTCTTATGGAGGGGATGAATTTCCGCGATGGTGAGGACGCGGTAAAAGTAGACGATCGATCGTCTGTCGCATTCGATGTGCGGATTAGTTACCCTGTTTACATACAAGTAACCCAGCTACAGTGACAATTTTAGACAAAATACACATACATTCAGACAGGACGACTGATCGGCTATCAATCGCGGCATCGCTGGGAAGCAAATGCCGACGAACCGAGCTTACAGTGATGACTGATCCAAATGTTTGCGACGTGACAGTGTTTCGCTAAGCGGGTGAAATGAGTCGCAAAATTTTCACATTTCAGAGAGCCATCGATTCGCCGACCAGGTTGCCCTGTGAAGTGCGAATTTCGCACTCGTGCTTGTACGAAATTGTATAAAGCGTGTGACCTCTGCGCGCCAAAGTGATCCCGGCGAATGGAACATAGCGCTCAACATTTTTTTCCGATCGTTACAACGCCGGGTGTGCATCGTTTCACCGATCAATTCCCCAAAGCGATCGCGAGAATCGATATTCTCTCACGATCCTCCAATTTTGTCACTTTCACCGCGTCCTGAGGACATTCAAGTATTCGGTTTCGCTCAACCGTAATCGAGACCTATGTAACTGTGTAAAGTTGCAATTCACCTCACTGAACCTGCGACAAACGCGAGTTTACAACCTGAACAGATTAGACATCAGGCAAATGTAGATACAGCAACCTGCGACCTAGACGAATGTAAATCTATGGAAGCACAACTCCGCGCGCTGATCGTAGGTATTAGCCGTGACGATCGAACAACACCGACCAGCTCGTTGCATTCGCAATTCCTCCAACAATGAATTCCGTTACCATGCTGCGACTGCCCCAGCACCAAATTCAAACCCCTCATTGCCCTCGCACATTCGCGTCGCAGCAACCGCCTCGCGACCAGGTCGCATGTTCCCGACTAGCGCGTCGTCGGAATAATCGCATCAGCGTCGGATGGCAGCCCTGCGACAGCACTCCCTTCAGGCGACGAGGGACCGATCAAATTCACCTTCCCCGCTCGCCGCTTCGCCATCCCTGTTCCTTCTCCCCGCGTTTCCCGCTCATATCCTCACAGCACCATCCCGCCTCCGATCCACCGCCACCCGCGGCGGCATCAGCGGCCGCAGCATTCCGCACCGCCGTGCGCCTTGGCCTGCTGCTACTGGGCGGCACGGCGGCATTCGCGGCGGTCGGCACCACTGTTGCATCTGCTGTCTTTGTCGCGTTGGCGTGCCATCGCGGGATGGATGGACGGCCAGGATCCGCTCCTCGCGACTGGGGGGCGCTGTTTGAAGGAGGAGGGGGCGGGGATGCAGGAAGTGGGGGAGGGGGAGGGGGAGGCGGAGGGGGAGGGGGAGGGGAAGGGGGAAGGGGAGGGATGGGGGGGGATAAACAAGGGGAAGCCGCTCTCTCAATTTTTGAGATGTCTCAAGAAGAGGTGGAAGATGCTGGGGGGAATGGTGGAAATCAATCAGGGAAAGGTGGCACTGTCCCCAAGGGGAAGGTTGCACCACCAGTGTACGTTATAATCCCAGCTCTGAACGAGGCATCAGCGCTTCCAATCACGCTGCGCCACCTGGCAAAGCTCTCCCCGCCGCCCGCCAGTGTTATAGTTGCCGACGGCGGCAGCACAGATGGCACGCCGCGATTGGCTAAATCCCTGGGCGCGGTGGTGGTGGCTAGTGAGAGGGGCAGGTCGGTTCAGATGAACACAGGCGCATGGAAGGCGGTGCAGCTGATGCAGGTGCAATGGGGGGAAGCAGAGGAACTTGCTCAAGGAGGTTCGAGCAGCACGGGTCGAAGCAGCGGTAGTCCCAGCAACGCAAGCAGCGGCATCCTTTGTTTTGTTCACGCTGACACGCTCGTACCATTGGATCTCGTCACAATCCTGAGGAGGACACTGCAAGACCAGTCAGTGTGCTGCGGGGGGTTTGTGCCTGTGGTGGCTGTGCCGGGGCGGGTCTTCTGGGGCATGTGCCTCCGGAATGTGGCTAAGGCCTGGTATGTGCCGCTGCTTGCTCCTCCACGGTATGCTCAGTTGCGTGATGCTGATAAGGCGTCGCTTACAGTCACGGGCCAAAACCACAGCAGGAGCAGCAGTAGCAGTGGCGGTGCCAGCAGCGGGAGTGGCAGTGGCAGCAGCAGCGGCGGCTCTAGAAACAGCAATTGTGAGGTCGGTACGGGTTCTGCATGGTTCAGTGGTGTTGCGGCGTTCTTTCGGGGTATGCGCATGCTATATGGAGACCAAGCCATGTTCTGCCGGGCACAAGACTTTGCATGCATTGGAGGGTTTGATGAAAGGCTGGCTATTCTGGAAGATGCTGACCTGTCAGAGAGGCTTCATGTGGATGGCTGGCGAAGAACCATGCCAGTTAGCAGCGTTCAGCGGATTAGCAGAGCCATGGCAGTTGGCAGGGATTCTGTTGGTGACATTGGGGGGTCTGATTGTGATGGGAAGTTGATAGTTAAACGTGGCGGTAGGATGGTTATGCTTCCGCGAGTGGTGGTTACAAGTGGGAGGAGGTTTGAGTACCTGGGTGCGTTTCAAGCCACCTTGGCTAACATTATTATAGCGAGCGCATACATATTTAGAGCTCCACCTGATGTGCTTTACAAGCTGTATAAGAGATTGTATTGTGATGTGAGATAGACGGCTGTATATTTTCTTCCGAAACATGTACACTTCTACAGGATATCGCAATTTGACCCAAAGCCAGGTTTTCCTTACTAGATATTCCGGACTCGAGCTTCGAATACGACCAATCTTGTCACGCCGCTCAGGCCACCGTCAACAAGCTCTGCGTCCAGGCAGGACTGAACGCCAACTCACCACACGCGCCGAGACTCTGATTGGACGAATTCGTGGAAGAAAGGCGGCCAGGACTACTACCCTGGGATGGGAATCTCTTCCCGCCATGCAGACAGGCGCAAATAGCTGGACGAGGAGGCCGCAAAAATCCCCAGTAGCAAATCCCAGGGGAAAGAATCATAGCTAGCCCATTTCGACCCACAACTTCCACTTGCGAGCACCACATTCTGAACTACATCGTTTGAGGATTCTCTGTCGTCAAGCAGTGAAGTAACATTAGTTTTTCCTTTGGTTCCCGAGTCGCGCTCGGGGTATCTGATACATCGTCGCTGGAAGCGTAGGAAGTATCGGACAAGAGCTTTTTGACTGGCCTGTCCTGCGCGATTTGCTGTTTTTGAGTCGACTCAAAGGTCGTTCGTGTTTGCGGATCGGCGCTCTGGCTACTTCGACCGTCGTGGCGGAAGCGTCGTTGCCTTCGTCGTCTGAGGACTCGTCGTCTGCGGCGTCGATGGTGCCGCAAGGTGACGCGAAAATGAACTCTTTCGAGATCGAGGACAGTCCCTACAACAACGACAAGCGGCGGCGGTCCAACAGCCTCTTCGTGGTCAGTGGCTGTGCCCCTCGCTCCTCGCCCCTCGCTCCCCTGCCTCTCGATCTTCCCCCTGCTCCATTTCTTTGCTTCACTTGAGTCTGCTAAATGAACTCTTTCGAGATCGAGGATAGTCCCGACAACAACGACAAGCGGCGGCGGTCCAACAGCCTCTTCGTGGTCAGTCCGCGCTGCTCTTGAGTTCTGAGGCTTCCCAAAACCTAAAACTCAGTCGTGCTCCCTGCTCCTTCTGCCGCCATTGCATTGCGTCGTGCTTTCCGTTCGCCAGTTTCGGGTACGTGATGCCGGCTCGTAGCAAGACGCAACTTATAGTTGCAAGTTGAAATGAGGAACGGAAAGTTGCAAGTCGCTCTGCCGCTAGTCGTTTCGAAGCAACGCTGAGTCGAAAAGGGTACAACTTCAAAGACGTCTCAAAAGTCGCTGAGCCGAAATGGATACAACTCAAAACGTCGCCCGCGGTTTGGTGGCTGAAAAGAAGCCTTTGGTGAGGAGGAAGTTAGAGTTTGAGACGTCTCAAAACCAGGTCGATTCGTGGCTGAGAGGAAACCTTTGGTGAGGAGGAATCCAAGGTTGGGATGAGCGCCACTCATACCGACGAATGCTGAGATCCGCTCATACCTTTACTAGGCGCCTACAAACTCCTACCGCTGTCAGGATCCGAGGTTCGGGATGAACGAACGGGCGCGCCGCGCTAAGGCTGCTAAGCGCCTTTCATGTTTGATTCTGGGTCAAGTATTTGTTGTCAAGCTACCGCTTTCGATACACTTCTTCCTCGTCCTTTCCCCTCTCACCAACATCCGCTTCCAAATCTCTGCCTTGTTCCTCCCCTTCAGTCTGCAAACAGGCGACGCAGTCGCGCCCCTCTCTGTAGCGTGTGACGCACGTTTGCCTCAAACTGCCCGCCGCGGCCCCCCACCCCACTCCAACCCCCCCTTCTTTCTCCCGACACCCTTGCCTTCATTGCTTCTCCTTCCCATTCTCGCAGGCCAGGACCTGCTCCGGTCTCCGGCCCTCCGTGTAGCGTGTGTGGCATTTTTCTCTCAAGCAGTCTCTTTCCCCCACCCCTCCCTCTTCCCCCCTTCTCCCCGCGCCCCTGCCCTCTCCAACTCTCCCCCAACCCCCGTCTCCCCATCCCCACCCCCCGTGCCTTGCCGTTGCCTGCGGCGAGCGGGTGTGTACCTGCAGCAGTCGCCGGCGCTTCAGTTCGCCGCCTTCCTCTGCACGCTCGTTTTCTCAAGTCAAGTCACCCCCTTCTCCCCCCCCCTCTTCCCCTGGGTTCTCACACGCTTCTCTTCCCCGTGCCTGCAGCGAGCGGGGGTGTACCTGCAGCAGTCACCAGCGCTTCAGTTCACCGCCTTTCTCTGCACGCTCGTTTTCCTCTGGGGCATCACCTTCGCACTCTCCCCCAACCGCCTGCCGTAGCTGCTGTTTTTGTCAAACCTCCTGCAGCTGCCGTACCTCCTGCAGCTGCCGTACCTGCTACAGCCGCTGTACCTGCTGCAGCTGCTGTACCTGCTAAAGCCGCTGTACCTGCTGCAGCTGCTGTACCTGCTAAAGCCGCTGTACCTGCTACAGCTGCTTCGCATGCTGCACACAGACAGAACTTTTGGGCCATCATGTTTGCACTCTCACCCAACCGCTCCTTGCCGTACCTGCTGGTTGCCATGCCTTAGCATGCTCCCCAGCCGCCGCTGGGCCATCATGTTTGCACTCCCATCCAACCACTCCTTGCCGTAGCAGTAGCTGCCGTAGCTGCTGAGAATGGGTGGCTGTGGTTTGATTATAATAATAAGCCATGCTGGGGGATAATTGGATTTTTTGGGGGGGGGGTTGGGGGGATGAGGAGGGGTTGGAGGCGGGAGGAGGGAGGGTTGGGGTTGGATGTGTTAGGAGGTTGTTGTGTGGGTGGGTAGAGGATATTAATTTCAAATGTGGAAGTGTATGTCAATTATAACTGTGAAATACATTACAAGTGTGAAAGCCACCTTTTCAAATTCTCAATATATTGATTTGTGCATTATGTACACACAAAGCATTTAATGTTTGTGTATACTTAGTTCTGAAAGCTACAGTAACCTTACTGAAATATTTCATAAACCAGTTGTTCTCTGTGACGGCTAAGCCTCGTAAGACTCTCCTCATCAGCCGCTGAGCCGCTGAGTCTCTTCTCCCATTCCCTTCCCCACATCTCGCCACTGCCATTCTCCCTAACGCCCTCCCTGTAACCTCTCGCTTCTCTTCCTTTTCGCTCTTCCTCCATCTCTTCAGTCAAGATATCCTGCTGCTGCTTCCTCTTCTCCCCATCTCCCTCAACCCTTCTCACTGCTTCTAAGTCTCTATATGCTTCAGACCCCTGATCTCTACCCTCCATTGGCAAACTATTCATGATTTCTTGCCGAACCTCCTCCCAAGCCTCCCCCCGAGCCTCCTTCTGAACTTCCTCAAGAGCCTCCTCAAACTCCCTCCAAACCTCCTCCTCAGCCTCTCCAGAAGCCCCCTGCTCCTCCCCAACCTCCCCCAGCTCTTCCTGAACCTTCTTCCGAGCCTCATTCCATGCCGTGGCAAATGCACAGTCAGCAGCATCGATTGCTGACGTGGCATAATCCTCCACGTCACCATCCAGAAAGCCTCGGCCTGTCTCCCCATCAGCTTGTATCGGCGCTCTCAGCAGCCTCGTCAGAAGCCCATACTCCTCTGCCCTTTTAGACCGGGTAGTTTCCCCTCGAAAAGTCTGCCCCAGGACACCGTGCACTGCCCCTGTGTTCTGTTGTGTTTCCAAAAAAATAAAAAGCAAAAAACAGAGCGAAGAAATGGGGGTTATATGGCAACACAAGGTGTATAAAGGGGGGTTATATATATTAAAAAAAAAACAGATGTAAAATCAACGGAATCTGGAACTCACGAGGATGCATATATATGGGGAATCTATGGATTTCTTTGGTGCGGTGAGGAGTAAACAGTTTCTGAATTATCATCCAAGCCTCCAAGCCATTTAGTGTAAACAGGAAATGGGAAACAGGAAAGCCATGAACAGTGTATATATGCACATAGTTAACTTCATTTATCGACACTCACATTGAGGTACTTGACATGGACGTTGAAGTGAGTGTGAGCCTCGTCAGGTGTTTGCAGCAGCGGGTGCGCGGCATGCAATGAGAGCTCCATGCTTGCCACTCCCCCCACGCGCACAAGGAATGTGTCCCTGTCCCTCCCATCCCCCAAGGGCCCTGTTGATAGAAGTACCATGTGGAAGAGCCCCTCCCCATGCACTGCCTGCCCCACCTGGGGATGGAGGGAGGGAGAGTTAGGGGAGGAGAGAGAGGGTTGGTATGTGTCCCTGTCCCTGCCATCCCCCATGTAAAAATGAGGGGAAAGGGCAGCCGAGGAGAGGAGGATAAGGTGGGAGTTGCAGCAGCGGGTGTGCAGAAAGCAGCGACACCTGAGAATCTGAGAGGAGAAAGTAGGTTCACCGTTCAGTGTGAGAGTTGGATTGGACACCAGAATAACCCGGGGGGGGTGACATGTACGCAAACTCATGAAAGAAATACCTGAGTTGGAGGGGAAACAAGTTGGCCATCAAGCTCCATCCTCTCAATGAACCCTCTCTCCCCCCGCCGCTGCTCCTTGCCATCCCGCGCCTTGAGGAACACCGAGTGCTGCCAGCCAATGGAATCTCGCCACGTCATGTAGAGCTCCCTGGATGGCAGGAGCAGGCACGAGGAAACGGAAAATGACAACAAGGTTAAGTTTTCTGATAAGAATGCCGGCCATCCTCGCGTCCACGTTCATCATTTTGATCGTCATCCACGTTGACATGTACACACATCCCGGTCCAGGGATAAAAATGACACCATCCTCGCGTCCTCATACCCCTTGATGCCCATACTGACAGACATGCACATCCCGGTCAGTCAGCAGGCAGAAGGACTAATTCAGCTCCCCATGAAAGTCAAACCTACCCCAGGAGACACCCAGTCCAAGACACTTCCTAGCCTACCTGATCCAGGACCGTATGGGCAGTCTGTGTCTTCGCTTCCCTCCTCTCCTCCTGCCCACGACCAGTCTCGGATCCTCATACCCCTTGATTCCCATGTTGATATGCAAATCCCGGTCAGTCAGCAGGCAGAAGGACCGATTTAGATCCCCGTGGAAATCAAATCTCGTGCCCTCCGCGCCCACGAAATGCGGGTCGTTTTTTACTGTCGCGAGCGGGTTGCATTTGCCTCCGATATAAGACGGAGGGACGCTCGTTATAGTGTTGTCTACGGTGAATTTCGTCAGGTTGGGAAGCAGCCTGCAGGTCCCGGCGGTGCCGGCAACGCTGGGGGGTGGTTGAGAGGAGAAGACGGGGGAGAGAGGGAGGAGGGAAAAAAGGGATGATATTTTATATTAGGTACAGTGCAGTGCTCGCTTAGAGTACTAGTCCATACCACTCGTCTGCGCCACTCGTGGGAAGTATCAGCACAGCAGCACTGACAGCGGCAGCGATTGGCACGTTTGGCAGGGAGTGGGTGGGGGACAGTGAGCATCAGCACAGCAGCACTCACGTTGGCGGCTGGTAGTGAAAGAAGACGCACTTGTCGGCTTGCGCAGTGGAGAAGCGAGGGGGAGCAACACACACTCACTCACACACTCACGTTGGCGGCTGGTAGTGGAAGAAGACACACTTGTCGGCCTGCGCGCAAGTTTGGCAGCAGCCGTTCTCGTTTGTGGCCTGTACGTGGATGGGCGGAGTTGGAGGGACAAGGGTGGGAGATGGGAGGGGACGAGTGGAGGAAGAGGGGGGAAAGCAAGGGAGCATGGAACACTTTAGGGCACACGTTTGGCAGCAACGCAAACTAGCAGGAAGAGTGGACAAGAGGGAACAGCTTCTGAGGCGCCCCAAAACCAACAGGAAGAGTGAAGGCGGAACGAGAGGAGACAAGGGGAGGGACGGGCAGCGGAATGAGAGGCAAGTGGAAGTGCGACGCGGAGGGCGGGGAGGGCAGAGAGGGCGGGGAGGGCGGGAAGGGCGGGGAGGGCGGGGAGGGCGGGGAGGGTGAGGAGGGCGGGGAGAAAGGGGAGAAAGGGGAGGGCGGGGAGGGCAGGGAGGGCGGGGAGGGCGGAGAGGGCGGGGAGGGCGGGGAGGGCGGAGAGGGCGGGGAGGGCGGGGAGGGCGGAGAGGGCGGGGAGGGCGGGGAGGGCGGAGAGGGCGGGGAGGGCGAGAGAGAGGCGGAGAGGGCGAGAGAGAGGCGGAGAGGGCGAGAGAGAGGCGTACCGTGGTCTTGAGTATCACGGTGGTGCTGTCTATGAGCTGCCGGGGGGAGGAAGGGGGAAAGGGGGAGAGGGCAGGGAAAACAAGGGGAAAGAGGGGGATAGGGCAGGGGAGGGCAGGGGAGGGCAGGGGACGACAGGGGACGACAGGGACGGATGGTTTAAGCGGGACAACAAAGGGGAGAGAAGTTGGCGGGAAAGGGACGCGAGGAAGCAAACTTGCAAGGAGTCGCTGTGTTACCCGCCGTAACCCGCTGTTACCAGCTGTTACCACTGTTGTCGCTGTCACTGTTGTAGCAGCACTGTTCCCCGGTTCCCCGCTGCTGCCCGCACTCAACTGCCGTGCCTACTTTTTCCGATCCACCTTATACCGCTACCATTTTGTACCGCCGTTCACGCTCGTAATCAGAGACGCCGTGCCCTACACAGGACAACCTCATTGCACCGTATTGAACCGCACTGTACCAACACCCACCTTGTACCGCTCGTAATTCATGTTCCCGTTCGAGCTGATAACGGTCGACGCTGTACCCCCTAACAAGCCTAACAAGGGAACCGCATTGTACCGCATCCAACCGCACTCCAACGTGCAACACCCACCTTGTACCGCTCGTAATTCATGTTGCCGTTCGCGCTGATAATCGTCGACGCGGTACCCGACGACAAAAGCCACCTGCCCTTGGTGTAGCTGACGCAGCGTGACGTCAGACAGCCGCCCTTTGGCGTCATCACGTCGAGAGTGGCAGCGAGGGCCACGTGGCAGGGGGGGTTACTAGACGGGAGCATCGATGCTAGCAGGACGAGCGGGAGGAGGGCTGCTAGCGCGAGGCGAAAGGAAGCTAAGGGTGCGCGCAAGCAGCGGGGAGAGGAGAGGGGAATGGAGCGCGGAAGGGGGGTGGCGCGCGGAATGGGAGTGGCGCGCGGAAGGACAGAACCGAAAGCACGAAGAGCGTGATGATGGACACGGCGGCATCGGCGGCGGTGGCAGCGGCGGCTTCGGGGAGAATAGGGTTGGGAGCGACGGACGGATGGGGGAATGAGGGACAAGGAAAATAGGCGGTCCCGTGGCGTTCGCATTGGCATCATCACGACTTTTTTAGGATCTGATCACTATCGGAGGAGCCTTTAATGGAGATTATTGCATTGGAAATTATCAATGGTCACTGTATCAGACGTTACTGTATCGGAAGTGTTACTGTGCGCGAAATGGTGGCTGCCTCGTGCGAGGAGAAAGCGAGGGACTGTCAACCACGTATACTATGCGCAATGCTACAGGTCAGTGTTCGGTGGAACTTTTATCTGCTCCTAGACCTCATATAATCAGGAAAATTAGTGGCCCAAATAACTAGATCTGAGAAGAACTTTGCTACCATAGCTTCTGCGCTTCTGCGAAATCGTCTGCTGCCGCACCGACTGCCACATCTTCTACCATAGAACCTTCTGACGCAGCTTCTAACGCAGCTTTTAACGGCTATCAACGGAGCTTCTAACGCGGATCCTCGGGGCTCCTCGCGTCTGACTTCTCTTTTCGCAGCGCATCGGGGTGCATGTCAAATTGGCTCGACTTATACTAAAGCTACGTAACGACTTTTCGGCAGCAGTTCCGAAACAGCAATGTCTTTCTCGAAATAGAAGGTTTTAGCCAAAACCTAAGGCACGATAGTTCCTCATGCCTACGGGCCATCCTAGATCTTGTTGCTTGAGCTCTCGCACACAGAACAAGAGGCATACAGGACAGGGCCTCGAGCCGAGCTGGTAAGCCGAGCCGATCAGGGGCACCGCAATACAGTGACAGTAGCTACGCTGTAATTAATTTACCGCGCGCTCCCCACAGGAAAAGCGGAACTTAGCTGGCAGAGGTTCAGAAATTAAATGGGTTTCACGTGGTTTCAGTATACTCTAAAACTATATTATTTGGTAGAATGTGGTTGAGATGCCGTTCAGTTATCCAACCCCTCGATGTAACACCAATCGCCGTGCTGACTGGCTATCACCAAGCTGGGATGAGCAGGATTTAGGAACTGACATGACGCAAACATTGTTGGGCGCAATCACGCATGCGAAATAGTGGTCGCGAAATGCGGACGAGATTGAAATTGCTGCTGATAATGTTGGCGAGCAGCTTGACCTGACGCTCACGAAATGTTGGCGAATTCATCAACGGAACTGTGGTTCCAGCTTGTGGTGGGTCCTTCAAATAATAGAGTCGGAGGGTAACGATCTCGATTTTGTCTCACCAGGGTCAAGTGAACAGCTTCAGGGGATTTCGCACGGAGCATCTGCGGTGTGGGGTTTGGTCGAGGGTTTGGCCTGGGGACCAAAGCACTGATTGACCAATCAGGGCTTGACCAAGATTCGATGCAGCATTTCAAATTTCAACAGCACCAGCATTCACCTCACCCAACAGCAGCGTGTTTGGTTGGTCGCTCGTCAGTGGTTTTGACGGGAATGGGAGGAAACAGCTGGCTGGATTCTTCTGTCCTCCCGCTGAACCGACTGATGAAACTGTCAGGACGCGTCACAATTGAAACATCGATCCTGCGCAGGATCGGTGTTTCGCGGGTACAGTTATTCGTTAAGTTGCGAATCAGTGGTTACTTGACTTCGTTAGTTTTCGCAAATATACAGTTGTCCCCTCAAAGTCACGCGATCGATGTGCCCTTGCCACACATCGATCGTGCAATTTCGTCCAGATCGGGCGATTTTGCCCCATGATTTCTCAAATGTGTCCCTTGAGAATTGCGGTGAGCCCGCGATTGCAACAATGCAGTCGTGGCACACCGATGTGGCGATCGATTTGGCAGGATCGGTGAACACCCCCGATCCTTCCTCGGTATTTCAATTGTGACGCGTCCTCAGGATGATGTTGACACGGCCTGCAAGTGGGAAGCAGAGGACGGGTGAGGGTTTTGTCGGGATGAGCACTGTTGTCGGAAACATACCTTGTACAAGTTTCAGGATCACCCGCTTCTGCTACGTTCAAATACACTGAATGACAATCACTATTTCACCGTTCAAAACCAATCACTTGTGCTGGAGCCATGTAAATCCATGCTAGCAACCATACCTCAACTAACTTGTGGATTCCTCCTAAATGCCATGGTTTTTTGCCAGCCATGCACATGGAGCCTCTCTGGCAAGTCAGCATTTTCCCGAATGGCCAGCCTTGCATCGAAGTGCGAAGTCTTGTGCCCAGCAGGACATAGCTTGGTCCCAGGGCTGACTTTATCAGACTAAAATAGTCTGATTGTCTGAAATCTCAGGGTATTTTCCTACGGATCCTGATTTTTCAGACTTGTAAGATTTTCAAACATGAGTGCCTCAGACTTACTTGGTTTTGGATCCTGAGATTTTCAGAGTACTGACTTAGCCGATAATGGGTCTTCATACTACGGATCATGAAATGCGGATCTGTGATTTCTACGTACATTCCGCTACGTCATATGTTGCCAGTGTACGAACACACTTCATGGCGCTGTCACGCGCAGAATCTGTCCTTGGCAACTTTTGCCACCCTTTTCCCTTAGAAATCTGCCAACTTGGCTCACTCTTCCACTCACGCGGGACCATCACTGCAGCTACGCGGTGTCAGCGAGGGAAGCTGGTTAGCGTTGCGCCCCACGTGCTACATTTGTGGCAGTACTGTACTGCAGTGGTTGTAGTGTGTTCTGAGTACTTCAGACTTGTGTTTTTGCGGAACTTGAAAAATCAGAGTGGCCATTCTCTGGGAAATATGCCTCAGACTAAAAATTTTCAGAGCCCCCAGAACATCAGACTGGATTTTTTTGAATAGTCAGCCCTGCTTGGTCCCCACATATGCATGCGCATGTCATAATATATTTCTGTATAACTGCATGTAGTTCTAGCTGTAGTGTAGTTCTATTGCTGTCCTGTTAGGTGGTGCATCATTTGGCTTGCTATAACTTGTCACTCTTCTCATAGTGAACATCATTCTCGTTTCTCCTTTGGTCAACACCCTCGATCTTCCCCTCGCTTCTCTCATCCTAGCTAAACCCTAGGTTACTAAGCCTAGTGAGTTAAGCACCTACTCTAACAGCGCATGCCACAGGAATGCCGCAATACCACCGAACCAGTCGAAAATCGTCAAGCAAGCGGGTTAGTTTCAGTCCAAGATCGTTCAGCAGGGTCGGACCAAAATCATTCAGCTGGGAGGTCTGGGTGTGCCAGTAATCAAATACGAGCATATACTGTTGAAATACATTTCTTATATAAACTGCTTGTAGCAGTAGTTAGTGTAGTGTTACATTGTTTGGTGGTGCACCTTGCTTGCTTTGCCTATATCCGTGTACCTTCTCTCTTTATTGAACCACCTTTCTCCTTTGGAACTCTCTCGACATCCCCCTTCAACCCTAAACCTAATCTCCTAAGCTACTCTAGCCATGGCTTCTAAGCCTAACTAGCTTTAGCTCTTTGATATGGTATCAGAGGACTTAAGCTCCTAAGACCTAATGGGCCCACCGATAGCTTCCGCCAATGCGCCTCTTTCCTGCCCGTGGCGCGCCCGTGGCGCGCGTCGGTTTTCTGCCCGTCGCGTGCCCGTGGCGCGCGTCGGTTTCTGCCCGTCGCGTGCCCGTGGCGCGCGACGGTCTCCTGCCCGCCGCGCGCCCCGGGCGCGCGCGGCGGTTTCACGCTCCGTCGCGGAGCCCCCGGGGACCCGCGCGCTCCCCCCGTCGTCCGTTGCAGCGCCCCCAGGAACCCGCGCGCCGCCCCCCGTCGTTCGTCGCGGCGCCCCCGAGGACCAGCGCGCCGCCCCCCGTCGTCCGTCGTGTCGCCCCCGGACACTGTCGCGCGCGGGTTTCTGCACACCGCGCGCCTCGGGAGCGCGCCAGAACCTGCAGCCGCGGTGCGGCTCCTACCCCGCCCCCCCCGCCTCCTTCTCCCTGCTACGCGTGCAGCCGTGGGGGGGGGGGGGGGGATATGGGGGTGGCGGGCAGCCGCGGAGCAGCTCCTACCCCGCCCCCTCGACTCCATCTTCCTGCTGCGCCTGCAGCCGTGGGGGGAGGAGGGGGTTGGCGGGTGTGACAAACCAGCGGCCGTCCCTCCTCCTCTCTCTCTTCCTACCGCCTCTCCTGGGGTGGGGGGCAGGAGGGGGGGGAGGGTGAGGGGGTGGCAGGGATGTCCAGCATGCGCCAGCCCACCTCCTCTCTCTTCCTGTCGCCCCTCCTGGGGTGGGGGGGAAGGGGGGGGGGGGGGGGGGGGAGGGTGAGGGGGTGGCGTTGGAGGAAGGGTGGGGGGAAAGGCATGAGGTTCAAGGGGGCGATTGACAAGGGGGGCGATTGACAAGGGGGGTGGCTGAAAGGGGGCGTGGAATTAGGGGGTTAGTAAGAGGGGCTTGCCGCGCTAGGCTCCCCCCACCTCCTCTCCTCCCTCTCTCACCCCCCCTTTGTAAACAGGGGGTTCGTAAGAGGGGCTCGCCGCGTGGCTCCCCCACCTCCTCTCCTCATCCCTCTCTCATCCCCCCCCTTCGTAAAACGGGGGTTAGTAAGAGGGGCTCGCCGCGTGGCTCCCCCACCTCCTCTCCTCATTCCTCTCCTCTCCCCTCTCTCTCTCTCGTCTCCTCCTCCTCGCATTCCTCTCTGCCGTCTTCCGCTGCGCTTGGTGTACCCCTTCAGGGGGTGTCTCTGCATTAGCTTCCTGCTGCAAGCAGTTTAGGGGGTGTGTTGAAATACATTTCTTATATAAACTGCTTGTAGCAGTAGTTAGTGTAGTGTTACATTGTTTGGTGGTGCACCTTGCTTGCTTTGCCTATATCCTTGTACCTTCTCTCTTTATTGAACCACCTTTCTCCTTTGGAACTCTCTCGACATCCCCCTTCAACCCTAAACCTAATCTCCTAAGCTACTCTAGCCATGGCTTCTAAGCCTAACTAGCTTTAGCTCTTTGACATATACTATCTTTGGCTCTTGGTGTATCTTACCCTTCAATAGCTACACATACCTACACCAAACGGTAGTAGTTTTTGGCTCTTAAAAGCTGCAATAAGGGCATGGAACATTGGGGATTTTTTTTTCCGAACGAACGCACGGTTCAAAAAATGAATGCTCTGAAACGTATCGAAACCTACTTAACAAAGCGTTTGACAAATATACCATTTTCAACCGTTCGGGCGGTACAGTTCGTTTGGAAAATTTCCTAAATGTTTCACGCCCTTACCTTATTGAAATATTTCATAAACCAGTTGTTCTCTGTGGCGGGCAGAACTCGTAACATGCTCCTTGTCAGCTGCCGAGTCTCTGTTCTCCCATACCCTTCCCAACATCTTGCCACTGCCATTCTCCCTAATGCCCTCCCTGTAATCTCTCTCGTCTCTCTCTTCCCCCACCTCCTCAGTAAAATCATCTTGCTGCTTCCTCTTCTCTCCATCCCGTTCCACCATTCTCCCTGAAACTTCTTCCTCACTATATGCTTTGGACCCCTGATCTCTACCCTCCATTAGCAAACTAGCAATGTCTTCTCGTTGAACCTCCCCAGTCTCCTCCCGAGCCTCCTCAACCTCCCCCGGAGCCTCCTTCTCAGCCTCTCCATAAGCCCCATGCTCCTCCCCAACCTCCGCGGCCTTTTCCCAGACCTTATTCCGAGCTTCGTTCCATGCCGTGGCAAACGCACAGTCAGCTGCATCGATTGCTGACGTGGCATAATCCTCCACGTCACCATCCAAAAAGCCTTGCCCTGTCTCCCCGTCAGCCTGAATCGGCGCTCTCATAAGCCTAGTCAGCAGCCCGTACTCCTCTGCCCTTTTAGACCGGGTAATTTCCCCTCGGAAAGTCTGCCCTAGTACACCATGCACTGCATCCGTGTTCTGTTGTTTGGAAAGGGAAAAAGTGAGAAAAAGGGGTTCATACAGTGACATTAACACAAGATGCAAAAAAGTGGTTGTATGTATGGACAGGGTATGTGTGGGGTCTCGTTGGTGTGATGAAGGGTAAACAGAGAGAGCGAAAGAGGGGTTCATACCGTGACAGAAACACAAGGCGCAAAAAAAAAAGATAAATGGCCAGGGCATGCGTGGGGCCCTTTGGTGTGATGAAGAGTAAACAAGGTGTTTTTGAGAATTCTCAAAAACACCCTGCAGCATCATGCATTGTCAACCATCCTCACGCCACATTTTACTATCTAACAACTAATTGAATGCAAACAGTCCAGCGTAAACAGGAATAAAAGTAACAGTACATACGTATTATGTATATATAAACAAATATATGTATATAAATTACATCAAAATCCACTCACATTGAGGTATTTAATATAGACGTTGAAGTGAGTGTGAGCCTCGTCAGGTGTCTGCAGCAGCGGGTGTGCCGCATGCAAGGAGAGTTCCAAGGCTGCTGCTCCCCCCACGCTCACGCGGTATGTGTCCCTGTCCCTGCCATCCCCCATGGGTGTGGCCGATAAAAGCACCATGTGGAAGGAACCTTCCCCATGCACTGCGTGCCCCACCTGGAGAGGCGGAGGGAGGGAGGGGAGGGAGGGAAAGAGAGGGAGAGGGTCGGTATGTGTCCCTGTCCCTGCCATCCCCCATGGGCGCTGTTGATGCCAGCACCATGTGAAAGGACCCCCTCCCTCCATGCACTGCGTGCCCCACCTGGGGAAGGGAGCAGAAGGGAGGGGGGGAAGAAAGATGACGGGAAAGTGGAGGGCGGAAAGAAGGAGAGGGTGGGGGTTGCAGCAGAGGGCGGGTGTTGAGCGGGGTGTTTTTGAGAATCCTAAAGAACACTCAGCATGCAACGACAACTAAGAACTGGAGAGGAGACATAGGTTCAGGGTGAGAGTAAGAGACACCACCATTGTTACTAGCGTGGGGCCGATCGCTTAACATGGTTACCTGAGTGGGTGGGTTCAGAGTCTGCTCATCAAGCACCATCCTCTCTATAAAGCCCCTCTCCCCCCGCTGCTGCTCCTTGCCATCCCGCGCTTTCAGGAACACCGAGTGCTGCCGGCCAATGGGATCTCGCCACGTCATGTACAGCTCCCTGGATGGCAGGAGCACAGACGAAGAAACAAAGAATGAATACACGTATCTAATACTGTTTAGTATGCAGACAAAAGTACTTAGGACTGATATGCAGTGCAGCTTGCGGCTCCATATCTAACAGCTACGCAGCAGTAAAGCAACCTTCACGCTACAGTAGTTGCACTAGAACCAACAAGCTAAAGTGTAAACGCGCCGAGTTGCATGCAGAAATCTCGTCAATATTTCCTCGTCCTCATCCCCTCGTCAACATATCCTCGTCCTCATCCCCTTATCAACATCCCCTCGTCCTCATACCATTCTTTGAGCCAACATCCCCTCATCCTCATACCCAGTGACGCTCATATCCATTGACGCTCATACCCATTGACGCTCATGTCGTTCCAAACTGGATTTCCTTTTGCCTACCTGGTCCACAATCATGCGGACAGTCTGTGTCTTTTCTTCCCAAAGAAGTGACTTTTGAGTCGACTCAAAAGTCACCAAACTTGATTTCCCTTTGCCTACCTGGTCCACAATTATACGTACAGTTTGTGCCTCTTCTTCCCTCCTCTCCTCCCACGCACCACCACCATCCTCCCGTCCTCATACCCCTTTATGCCCGTATCAACATGCTCTCTACGTTCTAAACATTAACTCCCATTCGATCCCCGATCTATACCATCCCATTCCATACCTGATCTATACCATCCCATTCCATACCTGATCTATACCATCCCATTCCATACCTGATCTATACCATCCCATTCCATACCTGATCTATACCATCCCATTCCATACCTGATCCATACCGTCCCGTTCCATCCCCGATCGTATCGACCGTTTCTGTTGTCTTCCCTCCTCCGCTGCTTCCTCCCCTCCCGCCCATCACCAGCCTCCCGTCCTCATACCCCTTGACACCCATCTTCACATGCTAACTATGCTCTAAACTCGGACTCCCCTCCATACCTGATACACGATCGTATGGGCAGCTTGTGACTTCTCTTCCCTCCTCCCCTCCCACGCACCACCACCAGCCTCCCATCCTCATACCCCTTGACACCCATCTTCACATGCACACCCCGGACAGTCAGCAGGCAGAAGGACGGTTTGGCTCTCTGTGGAAATTACCCAAGAAGCACCTACCCCAAGAAACTCCTACCCCAAGAAACACGTACCCCAAGAAACACTTACCCTAGGCGAGAGACAACCCGCCTACCTGATCCAGGACCGTATGGGCAGCTTGTGCCTCCTCTTCCCTCCCCCTCCCCTGCTGCCAACGCCACCGCTTCCCCTCCTCCTTCCCACCACCAGCCTCGCGTCTTCATTCCCCTTTATCCCCATGCTGATATGCACATCTCGCTTACCTGATCCAGGACCGTATGGGCAGCTTGTGCCTCCTCTTCCCTCCCCCTCCCCTGCTGCCAACGCCACCGCTTCCCCTCCTCCTTCCCACCACCAGCCTCGCGTCTTCATTCCCCTTTATCCCCATGCTGATATGCACATCTCGCTTACCTGATCCAGGACCGTATGGGCAGCTTGTGCCTCCTCTTCCCTCCCCCTCCCCTGCTGCCAACGCCACCGCTTCCCCTCCTCCTTCCCACCACCAGCCTCGCGTCTTCATTCCCCTTTATCCCCATGCTGATATGCACATCTCGCTTACCTGATCCAGGACCGTATGGGCAGCTTGTGCCTCCTCTTCCCTCCCCCTCCCCTGCTGCCAACGCCACCGCTTCCCCTCCTCCTTCCCACCACCAGCCTCGCGTCTTCATTCCCCTTTATCCCCATGCTGATATGCACATCTCGCTTACCTGATCCAGGACCGTATGGGCAGCTTGTGCCTCCTCTTCCCTCCCCCTCCCCTGCTGCCAACGCCACCGCTTCCCCTCCTCCTTCCCACCACCAGCCTCGCGTCTTCATTCCCCTTTATCCCCATGCTGATATGCACATCTCGCTTACCTGATCCAGGACCGTATGGGCAGCTTGTGCCTCCTCTTCCCTCCCCCTCCCCTGCTGCCAACGCCACCGCTTCCCCTCCTCCTTCCCACCACCAGCCTCGCGTCTTCATTCCCCTTTATCCCCATGCTGATATGCACATCTCGCTTACCTGATCCAGGACCGTATGGGCAGCTTGTGCCTCCTCTTCCCTCCCCCTCCCCTGCTGCCAACGCCACCGCTTCCCCTCCTCCTTCCCACCACCAGCCTCGCGTCTTCATTCCCCTTTATCCCCATGCTGATATGCACATCTCGCTTACCTGATCCAGGACCGTATGGGCAGCTTGTGCCTCCTCTTCCCTCCCCCTCCCCTGCTGCCAACGCCACCACTTCCCCTCCTCCTTCCGACCACCATCCTCGCGTCCTCATACCCCTTTATCCCCATGTTGATATGCACATCCCGGTCAGTCAGCAGGCAGAAGGAACGGTTCAACTCCCCGTGGAAATCAAATCTCGTGCCCTCCGCGCCCACGAAGTGCGGGTCGTTCTTCACCTCTGCGAGAGGGTTGCATTTGCCCCCGATATAAGACGGATCGATGCTTGTTTTAGTGTTGTCTACAGTGAATTTGTCCAGGCTAGTTAGCAGCCTGCAGACGCCGTTGCCGGGAACGCTGAGGTTGATTGAGGGGAGGGGGAGGGGAACGTTGGGGAAAGGAAGGAACGAACAAAGGGATAAGGGGAGGAAGAGAGGAGTGGGTGAATCTCGCCAGGCTGGATAGCGGCATGCAGACGCCGTTGCCGGGAATGCTGGGGGTGAGGGGAACATTGGGGAACGGAAGGAACGGACAATGGGATGAGATGAGGAAGAGAGGAGGCGGTGCATTTCGCCACGTCTGCAGACGCCGTCGCCGAGAATGCTGGGGATGGTTGAGAGGTGAGAGGGGTGGAGAAGGAGGGAGGGAGGAAGGGAGAGAGAGAGATGATCATTTAGGTTCGGTGGTCATCAGAAGTAATTGTCTAGAGAACTCGTGCACACGCACACCACTCGTGGGAGCAGTAGAGCAGCGAGCAAAACTCAAGGGGGGACCTACGAGGGGCAGCAACTTGTGGGCAACTCACAGTGGCAGCTCGTAGTGAAAGTAGACTCACTTGTGGGCAACTCACAGTGGCAGCTGGTAGTGAAAGTAGACTCACTTGTGGGCAACTCACAGTGGCAGCTGGTAGTGAAAGTAGACTCACTTGTGGGCAACTCACAGTGGCAGCTGGTAGTGAAAGTAGACTCACTTGTGGGCAACTCACAGTGGCAGCTGGTAGTGAAAGTAGACTCACTTGTGGGCTCGAGCAGTAGAGTGTGCGTGGGTGTAGAGCATTGAAGTGGGAAAATGTGGGCAGTAGAGCAGTGAGCAGCATTCAAGGGGAACGGCACTCGGGGGGGGCAGCACGCAGGGGGGCAGCACGCAGGGGGGCAGCACGCAGGGGGGCAGCACACGGGGAGGGGCAGCACACATGGGGGCAGCACGCGGGGGGAGCAGCACATGGGGGGAGCGGTACAGCAGCATTCGCAGCGGCGGCTGGTAGTGGAAAAAGAGGCACTTGTTGGCTTGGGGGTGCATGTTTGGCAACACACAACATGTAGACATGAGCAATGAGGCACGGCCAAGCATGGGAGCGAGCGAGTGAACGAGTGGTGAAACTTGTGGGAGGGACACACACACTCACAGTGGCGGCTCGTAGTGGAAAAAGACGCACTTGTCGGCTTGGGCGCATTTTTGGCAGCACGTGTTTACGTTTATGACCTGTGTGTGAATGGGGGAGGGGGAGAAGGAGAGGCGGGGGAGGGACGAGGGGAGGCGGGGGAGGGACGAGGAGAGGCGGGGGAGGGACGAGGAGAGGCGGGGGAGGGACGAGGGGAGGGGGAGAAGAAGCATGTGGATGGGGGAAGGGAGAAGGGCGAGGGAGGAAAGGGGAGGTACGGTAATTCGTAATACATATGATATGGATGCTATGCTACTGCCTGTGCGGAATGTAAGTGCAGATGAGAAAGAAAGTGCAGATGAGAAAGAAAGTGCAGATGAGAAAGAAAGTGCAGATGAGAAAGAAAGTGTGGATGAGAAAGAAAGTGTGGATGAGAAAGAAAGTGTGGATGAGAAAGAAAGTGTGGATGAGAAAGAAAGTGTTCGGATGTATAAGATGTATGCAGAGGTGACTGTTGTTTAAGATGTATGCAGAGGTGACTGTTGTTTAAGATGTATGCAGAGGTGACTGTTGTTTAAGATGTATGCAGAGGTGACTGTTGTTTAAGATGTATGCAGAGGTGACTGTTGTTTAAGATGTATGCAGAGGTGACTGTTGTTTAAGATGTATGCAGAGGTGACTGTTGTTTAAGATGTATGCAGAGGTGACTGTTGTTTAAGATGTATGCAGAGGTGACTGTTGTTTAAGATGTATGCAGAGGTGACTGTTGTTTAAGATGTATGCAGAGGTGACTGTTGTTTAAGATGTATGCAGAGGTGACTGTTGTTTAAGATGTATGCAGAAGTTAGATGATCCCACAGTAGGTGACTTTTCGGTCTGTCCAAAAAGTTAGAAACCGTGTTTGATGTGTGCGGATGATAAATAACATGTTCAAATGCTCGCTGATTGCAGAAGTCATCCCCACGGCCTAGGTGACTTTTGGGTCGTCTCCTAAGTGAGGAACCGTGTTTGATGTGTGCGGATGATAAATAACATGTTCAAATGTTCGCTGATTCCATCGAAGTGATTCCAGAGGGCCTAGGTGACTTTTGGGTCGACTCAAAAGTCACCTCGTTAAAAGATGTGCGCAGATTTCACAGAGCGTCTTAAAGAGAGACGCATGTGCGCATGATGTGGGAATGACGTGGGGATGACGATGCCGCAACAACCGTCATGACAGCAACGCAAAGTAGTGGGAAGAATGAAGGCGGAATGAAAGGAGACAGGGAGAGGGATGGGCGGCGGAACGAGAGGGGAGTGAAAGTGGGCTAGGGGGCGTGGGTGCGTGGGAGGCGCAGGGGGCAGTGCGGGAGGCGCGGGGGGAGAGCGGGAGGCACGGCGACACTCGGGCGCGGGGGAGGGGGGCCGGGGGGAGAGGAGAGGCGTACATTGGTCTTTAGAATCACGTCGGTGGTGTCTGTGAGCTGTCAGGGACAGTTGGGGGGAAGGGGGGAAGGGCAGGGAAAACAGGGGGGAGGAACGGCGGGAAAAAACAGGGGGAGAGGCGATGAGGGCGGGGAGGGCGGGGAGGCGGAGGGAGAGGCGTACATTGGTCTTTACGATCACGTCGGTGCTATCTGTGAGCTGGAGGGAGCAGGGGGGGGGATGGGGGGGAAAGACGGGGAAGGGTGGAAAAATGGGGGGGACGCAGAGAGAACGGGGATGGGCGGGGATGAGGGAAATGGGTTGAGTGGGACAAGGCAACAAAGGGGAGAGAAGGTGGCTTTAAGCTCATAGAGAAGATGGCAGGAAAGAGGGGCGCAGAAACACACGCGCAAGGACTCTCTGTGTTACCGCAGTAACCGCTGTTACCGCTGTAACCGCTGTTACCGACCGCTGTTACCGCTGTTGCTGCTGCTACCTCTGTATTTGTTCTTATCCAATGTTACACGCTGTTACAGCTGCTACAGTTGCTACTGCTGTTCCCACTCCACATTCCCACACTGTCATTTCATGCTGCCGTTCACGCTCGTACTCAGTGACGCCGGGTCCATACACTGCACAAACGCTTTGCACCGCACTAAACCGCGCTAGGCCGTGCAACACCCACCTTGTACCGCTCGTAGTTCATGTTGCCATTCGCGCTAATAATCGCCGACGCCGTACCCCCTAACAAGCCTAACAAGGGAACCGCATTGTACCGCATCCAACCGCACTCCAACGTGCAACACCCACCTTGTACCGCTCGTAGTTCAAGTTGCCATTCGCGTTGATAATCGCCGAAGCTTTTCCCGACGGCAATAACCACCGCCCCCGGGTGTACCTGACGCAGCGTGACGTCAGACAGCCACCCTTCGGCGTCAGCACGTCGAGAGACTCAGCGCGGGCCACGTGGCAGGAAGTATCTTCAGACAGAAGAATTGATGTTAGCAGGACGAGGGGTAGGAGAGCCGCTAGCGCGTGGCGGAAGGAAGAGAAGGGTGCGCGCAAGCAGCGGGGACCGGAGAGGGGAATAGAGCGCGGAGGGGGAGTGGCGCGCGCAAGGAGAGTGGCGCGCGGAAGTGGAATGGCTGAGGGCGGAAGGACAGAACCGAAAGCGTGGGGGCCGCGATGGTTGAGACGGCGGCGGCGGCGGCGGTGGTTCCGGAGCAAATAGGGTTGGGAGCGAGAGACGGATGGAGGAATGAGGGAAGAGGAACATAGCTGGTCCCGTCGCGTCCGCAGCGCCATGACAACAACTTGCTGAGTATCTGATCACCTTTGGAGGTTCCGCGTTGGAGATAACCGAATCGGAGGTCCCTTTATCCTATAATCAAGATCCGATAAGCAACCTTCACTACTATCATGGATTCCGCGCTTGTCTCGAATCGACTGCCGCGGTAGCCTCCAATGCAACGGAGCTTCTAGCGCAGCTTTTGACGGCTACCAACGGAGGTTATAACGCGGATCGCAGCATCCGCTGCACCTCTTTCTTCGCAGCGCATTAGCAAGGGTGCGTCAATCTGGTTCGAGATCGAATCTGCGAATTCTCTCTTCGGCTCGCGCAGCAGCTTCGAAATACAGCAATGTTATTCCCCAGAACAGGAGGTCTGTGCCAAACGTAAGGCTCGTTTGTTCCTCATGTTTAGAGGGACGTCTTAGATCTCGCGCGAGCCGTGTAAACGCACACAAGATGCTTGACGGTGGGCCGAGCCGCATAAGGGTGCCACGAGGTGATACAGCAACAGCGAGGTGGTGGGATGGGCAGCTGACGAAGGCAAGTGTGTTGAGATGAGAAATGCCCGTGCGAACCAGTATAGTAGTCGCGAAATGTCTCCGAGCGGATTCGCGACTGATGGCGAGTAGCTTGACGCTGAGCGAAACTCTCGAGGAAGTAGGCGACGCTCGCGAAAATATTGACGAACTCGTCAATGGACCTGTGGCTGCGGCTTGTGTGCAGGGTGTGTGACTTCGAAGCAGAGTGGCGACAAGAAAGTCAAGGAGAAGAAGGGATACGCCAAGAACGATCTCGAATTTGTCTCACGAGGGTCAAGTGAACAGTTCAGGGGAATTGGGGTGGAGGAACTGTACTGTGGAACAGTAATCCAAGGTTTTGAAGGGGGAAAACAAAGCACTGGTTGACCAATCATGGCTTGATCTTTAGAGATCAACCATTCACCGCCTCCTTCCTGACTGCGCGGCATGTCTCGAGTCTCGACTCTCGAGGGGGTGGCGTGGCGGGGTCACTCTGTCAAAGGTTTTGGCGGGAAAGGGAGGAAAGCTGGCTGTATTCTTCTGAACCAAACCCACTGAAAACGTTAGGATGAAGTTACAAGGCCTACAGTACAAGGACCAGTGAGGTTTATGTCCAATGGCCTGCACATTTATGGGCCCAGCACCGACGTCGGAAACATACATTTTACAGAGTTTCTGGAGTATCCACTTCTATTATGTTTGACTACACAGAATATGGATAAACCAATAGGCAAAGTAAAAACCAGGATAGACTCATTATTATGAACATTTGGTTATCTAGGTTATTACACGTGCTTCATTATTGTACTAATTTCGCCTGGTACGAGACTAGTGTCTGGGAATATATTTTGTTTGCTTTGAATATATGCATATATTTGCAAAAGGTACTATTGATTGGAGTGTTGATTCCAGTCAGGTTCGCTGCTATTGGTGGTTGTTCAGGCTTGTCAGAAGCAAATCGGCATGCCAGGAACGCGGCTCGACTTGTCTGACCGCAACAATTTGGCGCCAACATGTGTAAAGCTCACCATTGTGACGGCGGCGCAGAAAACCTCCAAGGGACTGGTGAGTCGTGACTGGTCGCATGTGGTAACATCCAGCCGAAGTTATCATGGACGTCAATCTCGCTGCTGCACAAACCAAACCGCAACGAGGTTCAGAATATTTGCTTCTGACCTTGAACCCCGTGCTCCAATCCCGATGTTCACAGGCGGAGGCTGCTCAGCAGACAGTTTCCAACTCCAGCATATCTCCATGTCCTCAAGGTCCGACCACGGTTTTGCCTGGTGCTTTACGGTCAAAAGTGGTTAAGAGAAAACAGCCGAGCTGCACCGAATAGTCACCTACTAAACCGCACTGAACGATCTCCGCGCTGGTCTGTACACCTCTCGGCCCACAACCGCCAATATCGATGCCTCATGGTCCCCGCACCAACCAATCCCCATGCACTTCCACCAGAGTAAAGGCACTTCCACCAAAGTGCCACTCCTGATCCCAATATGCAAACTTCCCGTCCCGACCGTTGCTCTTCCCTAGAACCCACAGGAGAGCAAGCATTCTAGGCTACCGCTTATCCGTTGGCCAGCGTGGTGGCCTGCTCGTGGCCTTGTGGTTTTGTTTTGTAGTTTTTAAGGGCTAAAGCAAAAATGGACGGTCATTTGTACGGACGGTGTGTTCGGAGTACTTTTCCCTGAAAGGTCATTTTTCTTATGCGCGGTAGTTGCATCCCGAACGAGCTATGCTGACTCCGGTTTCACTCAGCGGTGACTTATCAACAAGCATGGATCACACACGTGTTCGGTTCGCCTCTTTCTAAAGCACTAGTATTGTACACTAGAAACAAGAGTTTTCCTTCTGGACCAATCAGGACGCTCGATATTCGACGCTCTCAGCGTTTAGGAACAGGCTCTAGCTTCAATTGGTTTCACTCACAAAACAGCCATGGCCGCTAGCGCAATCCATGTCGCTAACGCGAGGGAGCTAGTGCGAGAGGTAGAGGCTCTTTTCCCGAAGTTGGACCCTCAGACGGACTGGGATGCTCGCATGGCCGCCCTGAAGCGCCTCGAGGGCCTCTTCCGAGGCGGTACGTGCTCCACGCATAGGTAAAGGTAGCGTCAAGTGTGGAGATTTGGTGTTTCACGCATAGCTTAAAGTAGCTTCAAGTGTGGAGATTTGGTGTTTCACGCATAGCTTAAAGTAGCGTCAAGTGTGGAGATTTGGTGCTCCACGCATAGCATGGTCTAGAAATTATCGTCATCGAGGTGTCCCTCTAAGGGCTTGGAGTTGGATTCAACGCTCTACTGGTCTCATTGTGAACTTTGGTTTTCATATGTTCCTACCTCCACAATCCCCAAGCAAACGCCACAGTGACAACCATTGTGATTTTCGTGTAGCTTCCAGACCTTCTGTTGTATTTTTTCCTGCTCAGAATACTGGCTAAGACTTCTCCACCCCATTTGGTAGTCTGTGCGTTGTCTGTACAACCGGAAAAACACTCTGCCTTCCTTTGGTTTTGATTCCCGATGCCTGATTATCTGATCTCAGCCGCACGATCGGGAGTAACGGGAATATCGGCTCTGCTCCGGCAGCTGGTCATGCCGCACCTCGCCGTCCAACTCCAGGATGGCCGGTCGAAAATCATCAAGCAGGCGTGCAACCTCGTGTCAGCAATCGCAGAGTGCCTGTCTGGGGAGTTCGAAGCATGCGCGGATATCGTGCTTCAGGTCAGCGATCTTCCCTCTCATCACGCATTTCCCCACCCAGCTAACACGAGTCAGAGTAGCAACCACGCTGCAGCAAATGCTCAGCAATCGCTGAGTGCCTGTCCGGGGAGCTCGAAGCATGCGCGGATATCGTGCTTCAGGTCAGCGATTCTCCCTCTCATCACGCATTCTCCCAGCTAACACATGCCAGAGTAGCAACTGCGCTGCAGTAACTCCTCAACGATTGCTTAGTACCCGTCCGGAGCGCTCCCAAGGCATTTTTCTCCTCTGATCTCCTTTTTGCTTCATCTGATCCACTACTTTCGCATTCACCTTCTACAAGTCACGGATCCGAGCAAGTGTGCCGCTACAATATATAACTCAGGTGTCCGATCAGGTCGTTCGTGTGTCGCACCAGTCACACATCATGTACCAGGGTCACCACGGCCAGACCTTGCGCCGCGGTCAGTACTGGCAGTCACAGGTCCTGTATCACAGCCAATCCCTCATATGCTCTCCGTGTCACCTGTCTCCTGCCCCTCCTAGCCACCCGTCAGACCTACTTACGAGCCTGCCGTCAGTACTAACAGTCACCGGTTATGTATCACGGCCAAACCCTTGCATGCTCTCCGTGTCTCCTGTCTCCCGCCCCTCATAACCACCCATCAGGACATGCTGACGTGGCTGGGGTCGATCGTCCGCTGCTGGTTTTGAGACTTCTGAAGACCGAACCCTAATCTTCTCCTCCTCATGTTTCCTGCCTCACCGTTTCCGCCCACCAGGAACTGATGAAGCTGCTGGAATTGTCCGCGGCTGGTTTTCAGACTTCTGAGTTGCCAGCCCTAGGCTGCTCCTTTCCATGCGGTCTGCCTTCTGCCAACCCTAACCTGCTCCTCATGTTCCCTGCCTCTCACCCCTTTCTGCCCATCTGGAGCTGATGAAGCTGCTCGGGTCGTCCGCTCCTAATTTGAGTCAAGTTTAAACTCTAACCTGCTTTCTCTCATATTCTCTGCCTCTCATCCCCTCTGCCCACCAGGAGCTGATGAAGCTGCTCGGGTCGTCCGCTCCTAATTTGAGTCAAGTTCAAACCCTAACCTGCTTTCTCTCATATTCTCTGCCTCTCATCCCCTCTGCACCCACCAGGAGCTGATGAAGCTGCTGGGGTCGTCCGCGGCTATTATGGCCGACTCAGCAGACTCCACCATTCGAACTGTGAGCTCGCCGTTCCACTTGTGTTCTCACCATTTCTGGTGCTATTGACTTTTGAGTCGACTCAAAAGTCACCCCGTTCCACTTGTGTTCTCACCATTTCTGGTGCTATTGACTTTTGAGTCGACTCAAAAGTCACCCCGTTCCACTTGTGTTCTCACCATTTCTGGTGCTATTGACTTTTGAGTCGACTCAAAAGTCACCCCGTTCCACTTGTGTTCTCACCATTTCTGGTGCTATTGACTTTTGAGTCGACTCAAAAGTCACCCCGTTCCACTTGTGTTCTCACCATTTCTGGTGCTATTGACTTTTGAGTCGACTCAAAAGTCACCCCGTTCCACTTTTGTTCTCACCATTTCTGGTGCTATTGACTTTTGAGTCGACTCAAAAGTCACCCCGTTCCACTTGTGTTCTCACCATTTCTGGTGCTATTGACTTTTGAGTCGACTCAAAAGTCACCCCGTTCCACTTGTGTTCTCACCATTTCTGGTGCTATTGACTTTTGAGTCGACTCAAAAGTCACCCCGTTCCACTTGTGTTCTCACCATTTCTGGTGCTATTGACTTTTGAGTCGACTCAAAAGTCACCCCGTTCCACTTGTGCTCTCACCATTTCTGGTGCTATTTCTCTCTATCCCTGTCGTCTCTAATGTTACCATCCCCGTCCCCGTCCCTGTCCCTGTCCCCATCTCCGTCCCCGTCCCCGTCCCCATCCCCTTCCCCTTCCCAATCCCCATCCCCGTCTGCATCCCCCCGTCCCCATCCCCTTCCCCTTCCGTGTCCCTCTCCCTTATTGTATCCCTGTAATGCTCCCTGTCCGCTGGGCAATGTCCTGAACGCGTCCTCTACTTTGTTCTGTTCTGTTGCGTTTTTACCGTTTTGCTTCTGTGTTTTGCTTTTACCTTGCCTGTTCCATCCAATCGGCCTACCAGGTGGTGGTCCGTTGCAGGCCCACCCGCACACTGAGCAAGGTGTTTGAGACGGCCCGGGCGTCAAAAAGCACAGTCCTGAGGAGCAGGTGGGTTCAATACGGTATGGAGGGTAGAGGGTGACGTGTGCGCGGTGAAAGGTGTTAGAGATGGCCCAGGATACAAAGTGCACAGTAGTGAGAAGCAGACTGGTGTAGGTTTGACTTATTTCTTGCCTCGAAACGGGATGAGCAGATCCAGAATGGTGTAGGGTTATGGAGATGGGGAAAGGGGAGGGCAATAGGGCGATGGGAGGGATATGATGATCTTCACCAAAAATAAAAGTCCTCTTTTACGTGTTTTAGAGCTCAACATGCTTGTTTCTTCACCCCCCGACCAACCCCCTCAACCACACCAGGTGTGCAGAGTATGTGCTGCTGGCGCTGGAGGTGTGGGGCCCACAGGGCGAGCTCGTCTGATCGTTCCCTATTCCACTCACACCTCCCATTTCGCCGCCTCTTCCCCATTTCTTCCCCATTTCTTCCCCCTTCCTCTCCCCCCCCCCACCCCCCCAAGTGTGCGGAGTATGTGCTGCTGGCGCTGGAGGTGTGGGGCCCACAGGGCGAGCTGGTTTGAACATTCTCCTATTCACCCCCACCCAACCCCCCCCCCCCCTTCCTCCCCCCCCCCCCTCCTCCTCAGGTGTGCGGAGTATGTTCTACTGGCGCTGGAGGTGTGGGGCCCACAGGGCGAGCTGGTCATGCTGGTTGATGCGATTGAGAGCAGCATTCGTAGTGGCGTGCAGGATGGCACGAGAGAGGTGAGGGAGCGGGTGGGAGAGGATGTGAAAAACGATGTGTGACTTTAGAGAAGGGCACGAGAAGGGGGAGATAGGACGAGCTGGTGGCGCTGGTGGATGCGATTGAGAGCAGCATTCTCAGCGGCGTGCAGGATGGCACGCGGGAGGTGAGCAGAGGGAGAAACAAGATGATGGCACGAGGGAAGTGAGTGAGAGGATGGGAAGCGAGCTGGCGATGCTGGTGGATGCGATTGAGAGCAGCATTCGCAGCGGCGTGCAGGATGGCACGCGGGAGGTGACTGGGAGAGAGGAGAGGGGATGGAGCAAGGGGGGGTGAGTGAGAGGCGAAAGAATAACATGAGAGGCGTGAGAGGGGATGAGAGAGGTGCAGGGAGGCGAGGCAGAGTGGGAGGTGCAGCAGATGAAGGAGGCAAAGCTGTGGGAGGTGCAAAGATGGGGCATGCCAATTTGATGTCTCCCTCGCCCCACATTCACAAACTCTCTCTCTCGGCCCACATGACATGCCCTCTCCCTCGCTCCACGCTCACATGCTATCTCCCTCTCCCTCCGTTCACATGTCCTCCCCCTCTCCCTCCCGACATTGTCTCCTCTCCCGCCTACCAGGTGCGAGCCACAGCCAGGCGCAGCTTCCGGGAGTTTTCCCACTTATGGCCGGAGAGAGCCACCCGGCTGCACTCCTCGTTTGACGTCACGGTGCAGAAGGTGAGGAGGTGGGGAAGGAAGAAGGTGGGGAGGAGGCTAGGTGGCGAGGGAAGGAGGTGGGAAGAATGGGAGAAGGCGAGGGGATGAGAGGGAAAGAAGGCGAATATTCCCTGGCAATGTAACCTCTGGCCAGGACCGCCCGGCTGCACTCCTCGTTTGACGTCACGGTGCAGAAGGTGAGGAGGTGGGGAGATGGGGAGGTGGCGAGGTGGCGAGGTGGGGAGGTGGGGAGGTGGCGCGGTGGCGAGGTGGCGAGGTGGGGAGGTGGGGAGGTGGGGAGGTGGGGAGGTGGCGAGGTGGCAAGGTGGGGAGGTGGGGAGGTGGGGAGGTGGCGAGGTGGGGAGGTGGGGAGGTGGCGAGGTGGGGAGTTGGGGAGGGAAGGAGGTTAAAAGAAGGTGAGGAAGAAAGAAGTTTTGCTTGTATCACTTTACCCTCCTTACCCTCGTTGCCCAGCTGCACTCCCTTCACGGTGCAGAAGGTGAGGAGGTGGGGAGGTGGGGAGGTAAGAACGGGACAAGGTGAGAGGTTGTTGACAGGTGAAGAGATGACGCGTTCTCCTCTGAGCGTGTCACCTTACTCTCCTGCTTTTTCGCCATCTCAATGCTTTCTCTCAGCAACTCTGAACCCACTTGCGATGGTATCTGTTCCTTACCTATCATCTTGGCCCTTCGCTCCTGCCAAGGGCCAGTTTGGGAGCAGAAGCCAGCAGCGCTGTCAGCATACTCAAGAATGGACCCTGCTTTCCGCCCTTCGCTCTCCCGCCCTCTCGCCTTGCTCACTTGCTATTCTCCCCTCTTGTGTCTATTGTCTTCCTCCTTCCTCCTCCCCAGGTGTTGGCTCAGGAGGACAAGTCAGCAGCACTGTCAGCACATTCGAAGAGGGACCCGCCTCCTCGCCCCTCGCTCTTGTGTGCCCTCAGCCCCCTGCCCATCCTGCCTCGCTCCACTCTCCCTCCTCTCACAATCCTTCTCTGATCCCTCCTTCTCCCCAGGTGTTGGCTCAGGAGGACAAGTCAGCAGCGCTGTCAGCACACTCCAAGAAGGACCCACCTCCCCGCCCCTCGCCCTCGCGTGCGCGCAGCCCCCAGCCCATCCTGCCTCGCTCCTCTGCTGCCCTCGGGAACCTCATGGCTGCTAGGCGACAAGCTGCCTCTGCTACAGCCGCTGCTACAGCCGCTGCTACAGCTGCTACTGCTGCTACAACCAGTACTGCCACTGCTGGTACTGCCGCTACTGCTACAGCTGGTACGGCTCGTACGACTGCTGTAGTGGAGAGTGCGAGAGGGGGACTGGCGAGTCTTAGCTTGAACTCTGTAGCCGGTCAGCCTGTCAGGGGGGATATAGCCTCTGGTAGTGCTGCTGCTGCAAGCGGCGGTGGGGGAGGAGGGGACGGAAGGGGAGGAGGGGGAGGAGGAGGTGGGATGGGGCTGGTGAGGGGTGTGAGGCTGGGTGCACAGGGCACAGCTGCTGCTGCAGCAGCAGTGAGGGTAGTGGCAGGAGCAGGAGGAGGGGGAGGACGAGGAGGAGAGCGAGAAGGGGTTGTAGCAGGGCTAGGAGGAGCAGAAGCAGCTGTAGCAGCTGTAGCAACAGGGGCAGCAGGTGTTGTGGGATCCAGGGCTGCTGGGGTAGCTGGGAGGGGAGAACGGATTGGTCCACAGAGAGTGATATCAACGAGTGAGACTGACACTGCAGCCGGTTATGCAGCTGCTGAGAGTGATGATTATGGTGTTGATTCTGCAAGAGACGGGGTGTCATCTGGGGAAGGTTCACCTGGGCCTGAGGCGAACCTATCCCCCAAGATAGTCCGTGTTTTGAACTTTGACTCTGCTAGCCGCAGTGCTGCTGCTGCTGCTGCTGCTGGTGCTGCCGCTGGTGCTGGTGCTGGTGGTGCTCGTGGTGCTGGTACTGGTGGTGCTGCTGGTGTGGCGCGTGTTTCTATGGACGACGTTCCTATGAAGGAGAACTTACAGAGGGGATGGGGTGGAGGAGCAGCAGCAGCGGGAGGAGGAGGTGGTTGTGGGGTTGGGCCGAGGAGGCAGAGGCACAGCATTGCTGCGTCAACCAATCTTGAAGGTCTGGTGCCGTCACGACCTCTAGGGACAGCTGCGAACAGGGTGGGGCGAGGGGCGCTGGGGGAACGGGAGGCAGAGGGGAAGGGGGGAATTGGGGTGCGAACGGACGTGAGTGGAGGTGGGGTTGGGGGAGGTGTGATTGGGGGGGTTGGGATTGGGGGAGGTGGTGGGGAGAGGAGGGCGGTGCATGCTAGGAGGTCTGTTGGGGGGTTAGTGCGAGTGAGTGAGGAGAGTGGTGGGGGGATGGGCGAGGAGAGGACGAGAGCAGCAAGTGGGCTTATTAGGCCTGGCGCTAATGCAGCAGCAGCGGGAGGAACAGCAGCAGCAGTGGGGGCAGTGGGAGCAGGCGCTGGCAGGAGAAGAGGCTCGTTGCCTGGAGCCGTGCAAACAGCACATGAGCAGCAACAGCAGCAGCAGCAGCACCATCACCAGCAACAGCAGCACCGTCAGCCGCTGCACGCACCACGAGCTTCCATGCCGCCACGACACAGAAACCACTCCCCACCCCCCCCTATTCGTGCACGCCCATCCCTACCTCCTGCTGCGGCTGCTGCTGCTGCGGCTCCCAGACCTGCTAGGCGGAGCATAGCCAGTAGCTATGGGGCTAGCGGAATGGGGGCAACAGGAGGGGCAGGCGCAACTGGAGGGACACGTGGAATGGGAGGGATGGTGGGGAGAGGAGGAACCGTAGGAGCAGCAGGGGTAGGAGGGAGGGATCGGACACAGAGAAATAAGCAGCAGCATCAGCAGAGGGATGTGGGGGAGGAGATGAGGTTGAAGGTAGAGGAGGGGTTGCGGAAGGGTTGTGACTGGTCGAGGCGGGTGGCGGCCTTGGAGGCTGTGAGGGGGTGTGTGATGGGTGGAGGAGACGCGGTGGCGTGGGGAGGAGGAGAGGAGGATGGAGTGAGCCGCAAGGGTGTTCAGGCTGTTGTGAAGGTGCGTGCCCTGTGTGTTTTTGTGTTGCCATGCCTGTTGTGGGTGGGCAGTGTTAGTTTTGAGGCGCCTACAAATTGCGGGTATAGAGACGAATTATGAGGCGCCTCAAACGAAGATGGAGTGAGTCCCAGAATATGGACAGAGTAGTGGAGCTGCTAGTAGCGGGGACAGAGTTCGCCCACACCAAGGTCGCCTCCTCAGCTCTGGCCCTCTTAGAAGACCTCGTGCTGCACTGCCCGCCCATCCTCTTCCCTCCCCACCTTGACAAATCGCTTCCCCCTCTCTTCCCCCCTGCTTTCCACCCCTGGCAGCACCTGGACAGAGTAGTGGAGCTGCTAGTAGCGGGGATGGAATTCGCCCACACCAAAGTCGCCTCCTCAGCTCTGTCCCTCCTGGAAGACCTCGTGCTGCACTGCCCGCCCATCCTCTTTCCCCCCCACCTTGACAAATGGCTTCCCCCTCTCTTCTCTCGCGTGGCTGACACTGGGAGGGATCGCATGCGAGCACAGGCAGAGGGGATTCTGGATTGTGCTTTAGACAGCTGGTTTAGACGAGGGGATGGGTGCGGAGGGGGAGAGGGGGAGGCGGTGCAGGTGCTGCTGCCGGTGCTGGAGCGGGCTTTGGAAGGGCAGAGGGGGCCGCGGGTGAGGGTGTGTGTGGTGGAGTTTGCAGAGCAGGTGCTGAAGGGGAAAGCAGGCAGAGAGGAGGAGGGAGAGGAGGGAGGGGAGGGGGTGGACGGAGGAGAGGAGGAAGGGGAAGGGAGGCAGCGTGGTGGGAGTGCAATGGCTCGGGCCAGAAGGAGCGCAGCGGAAGGTGAGCCTCTAGCTTGGGTCGTAGCGTCACATTGAGCAAATCTCAGTTTCAAGTTCCGACTCCAAAGTGAGCAGCAATCGGTAGTGGTCATTTATGCAGTAGTTGGCTTCAGTTTTGAGACGATTTAAAAGAAGTAGTTTTAAGTTCCGACTCCAAAGTGAGCAGCAATTGGAAGTGATGATCATTCATGCAGTAGTTGGCTTCAGTTTTGAGACGATTGAGAGAAAAAATAGTTTCAAGTTCCGACTCCAAACTGAGGTGACTTTTGAGTCGACTCAAAAGTCACCTTGTGATCATTCATGCAGTAGTTGGCTTCAGTTTTGAGACGTCTCAAAAAAAATAGTTTCAAGTTCCGACTCCAAAGTGAGCAGCAATTGGAAGTGATCATTCATGCAGTAGTTGGCTTCAGCACTTGACTTTGGAGTCGACTCAAAAGAACGACTCCAAAGTGAGCAGCAACTGGAAGTGATGGTCATTCATGCAGTAGTTGGCTTCAGCACTTGTGCTTTCTTTCTTCTCCCCTTCCCACGCTCACTCACCCGCGCTCATTCTCTCCCTCCCCAACTGTGCTGCGCCAAGAGGAAGACCCGCCTGGCCACTACCCTCCCTGCCTCTCTCCCTCCCTCCCTCCCTCCCTCCCTCCCTCCCTCCCTCCCTCCCTCCCTCCCTTCCTCCCTCCCTCCCTCCCTCCCTCCCTCCCTCCCTCCCTCCCTCCCTCCCTCCCTCCCTCCCTCCCTCCCTCCCTCCCTCCCTCCCTCCCTCACTCCCCTCTTCCCTCCCTCCCTCCCTCCCTCCCTCCCTCCCTCCCTCCCTCCCTCCCTCCCTCCCTCCCTCCCTCCCTCCCTCCCTCCCTCCCTTCCCTCCCTCCCTTCCCTCTTCCCTCCCTCCCTCCCTCCCTCTTCCCTCCCTCCCTTCCCTCTTCCCTCCCTCCCTCCCTCCCTCCCTCTTCCCTCCTTCCCTCCCTCCCTCCCTCCCTCCCTCCCTCCCTCCCTCCCTCCCTCCCTCCCTCCCTCCCTCCCTCCCTCCCTCCCTCCCTCCCTCCCTCCCTCCCCTCTTCCCTCCCTCCCTTCCCTCTTCCCTCCCTCCCTCCCTCCCTCTTCCCTCCCTCCCTCCCTCCCTCCCTCCCTCCCTCCCTCCCTCCCTCCCTCCCTCCCTCCCTCCCTCCCTCCCTCCCTCCCTCCCTCCCTCCCTCCCTCCCTCCCTTCCTTTCCTCTTCCCTCCCTCCCTTCCCTCTTCCCTCCCTCCCTCCCTCCCTCTTCCCTCCTTCCCTCCCTCCCTCCCTCCCTCCCTCCCTCCCTCCCTCCCTCCCTCCCTCCCTCCCTCCCTCCCTCCCTCCCTCCCTCCCTCCCTTCCTTCCTCTTCCCTCCCTCCCTTCCCTCTTCCCTCCCTCCCTCCCTCCCTCTTCCCTCCTTCCCTCCCTCCCTCCCTCCCTCCCTCCCTCCCTCCCTCCCTCCCTCCCTCCCTCCCTCCCTCCCTCCCTCCCCTCTTCCCTCCCTCCCTTCCCTCTTCCCTCCCTCCCTCCCTCCCTCTTCCCTCCTTCCCTCCCTCCCTCCCTCCCTCCCTCCCTCCCTCCCTCCCTCCCTCCCTCCCTCCCTCCCTCCCTCCCTCCCTCCCTCCCTCCCTCCCTCCCTCCCTCCCTCCCTCCCTCCCTACCCCTCCTCCTCCTTACCCCCTCACTCACTGTATCTCTCACACCCACTTCCCGCCCTTCCTCCCTCCCTTTCACCCATCCAGCCAAGAGCATCCGGCAGTGGGGTGCGCGCCTCCTCCCACTGCTCAAAGACCCCAAAACCCGCCTGCCAGCAGCGCGGTGCCTGGGGGAGGTGGTTACACAGATCGGCCCCGCCTTCCTGGCGAGCTATATTGACTCTCTCCCCGACTCGGTACGTTGGGATGGGGCCACATGTGTCTGTCTATTGTGCATGCATCTCTGCTCAAGGACCCCAAGACCCGCCTGCCAGCAGCACGGTGCCTGGGGGAGGTGGTTGCGCACATCGGCCCTGCGTTCCTGGCGAGCTATATTGACTCTCTCCCCGACTCGGTATGTTGGGACCTGGTGTGTTTGTCTGTGGTGGTGCATGCATGCATCATCTCTGAAAGACCCGCCTGCCAGCAGCGCGGTGTCTGGGGGAGGTGGTAGCGCAGATCGGCCCTGCGTTCCTGGCCACTCACATCGACTCTCTCCCTGACTCGGTACGTTGGCCACCTGATCCGATGTGTTTGTCTGTGGTGGTGCAAGCATCATCTCTGAACGGACCCCAAGACCCACCTGCCAGCAGCGCGGTGTCTGGGGGAGGTGGTGGCACAGATCGGCCCTGCGTTCCTGGCCACTCACATCGACTCGCTCCCCGACTCGGTACGTTGCAGGCCTGGTGCATGAGAGTGCTCATGGGTTTATCTGTGGTGGTGCATGCACTGTCAGACGAGGGTCGTGGTCACGTGAAAGCCCGCAAATCTCTCGTCTCTCACACTGCCACAGGAACTGTCGGACTTCCTCGCTCTGCTAGAGAGGGCAGTGCAGCTGGATCGTTGCGGGGCCTCAAAGTTTGCACCCCTTGTCCATTCCCTCTCATCTTATCGCATCGCATGCACTGCCACAGGAACTCACTGACTTCCTCGCACTGCTAGAGAGGGCAGCAGAGCCTGATGTAGCGGCAGCTGTAACGGAGTTCATGCAGGGGAGTCAGATTCACGGGCATGGGCATGGCATGTCGACAGCTGGTTTGAGACATGAACGAGCCTCCGGAGCAGGTACTGTTATGCTTGCATGTGCGTACATACCTGGGGAGTCAGATGCATGGGCATGGGCATGGGCATGGGCATGGGCATGGCATTTGAGCTGGCTTCTGCAAGAATTGATAGGGATTCGGTATGCAAGATGACTTTTGAGTTTATACACGTGCATTACTCACCTCCTACTCTCATCCCCTTCTTCTCCCAACCCCACCTCCCATCCACATATTCATTATGCGCTGATGAACCTGCCACTGGCTTTCGCTCCTCCTCGCACTCATGTCTTCCTTTTTGTGGCTCGAGCATTAGCAACAACTTCCAGAACATTCTTGCACGCAGCTGGGCTCACTGAATGAGAATGTGTGCGTGCGGTGTGGGCGCTTGGCAGTCAATAAGCACATTTACACACTCACACTTGCATTGCTGACCTCCCTGTGTCTCCCCTCCCCTCCTCCCTCTCCCCATTCCCCATTGGTTACACCACTGCAGCGCGAGCATCGGCAACAACCGCCGGCACGGGCATGCATGCAGCAGAGCATACTGAACGGGACATTGAGCACGCGGTGTGGGAGGGGGAGGGGCGAGGTGATGGGGAGGGAGAGGGAGAGCGAGGGGCATTAGGGGTGGATGTGGCGTGGGAAGAGGGAGAAGGAAGAGAGGCAGGTGAGGAGTCTGAAGAGGAGGGAGAGCGAGAGGAGGGTGGAGACGAGGGAAAACCTTCTGTGAGGGAGATTTATGGTGAAGAGGCAACAGCGTCTGGTGAGAATGGGGTGCAGAGCGGTATGGCTTTTGAGGCCCCTCAAAAGTCTCCTCATGCGGTGCTTCAGAAGTTGTATAGTGAAGAGCTTTTTCCCTCTGGCGAGAATGGGGTGCGAGGGAGTATCGAACCGTCGTCTGAGTCCTCCTTCCTCTCCTTCTCGGTGGAGGAGGAGGGCAGGGAGGGAGAGGACGGGAGATTGGGAGGGGAGAGGGGAGAGGGAGAACGAGGGTCGCCTGGTTGCTCTGTGACATCTCCACTGGTGGGGATGCAGCAGCAATGGCAAGAAGAAGAGCAGCAGGACGAGGAGGAGGAGCAAGATCTGGAGGAGCAGCACCATCACCATCACCATCATCATCATCATCACCTGCAGCAGCAGCAGCACCATCCTCACGAGCAGCAGGAGCCACAGCAGCAGCTACACCAAGAGCATGCCCGCTTTAGTCCTGCTGCTCCTAACAACTGCGGATCCCTCAACACCTCCTCTTCGTGCTCCCCTCGCCCTTGCTCCCCCGAGCCTTCTTCCTCTTCCTCATCAGCAGCATCTGCTGCCTCTGCTGCATCTGGTGCCTCTGAAGTATCTGCTTCAACGGCCATCACCGATTCTGCAGTGGAATCAGCAGCTCGCCACTTAGCTAAGCACGTCTCGCTAAGTGCTGCTGTGGGCTCCCCGGGTGCAGCTTACAACCCCTCTTTTCTTCCAAGCTATGCTCCTATTGCTACAGAGGAATTCACAGGGAGGGATGGAAGACTGAATGGCCAAGGGCCCGGGGGAGGAAGGGCGGAAAGCGGGGGAGGGGGTGCGTGTGTTGGTGGGGTGGAGTGGGTGGGGTGGGAGGAGGAGAGGGAGGAGGTGGATGATGCATGGGTGGCAGCTGAAATCGCTGATGCCATGGTGTGGGCGACCGGGCGGGAGGAAATGTTGGATGTGTGTGGGGAAAAGTGTGGACTTAGGTTGGAAGATCAAGACAGGTTCAAGAATGAGAAGGCAGAGGGTGGTGAAAGGAGGGGAGGAATGGAGGAGCAGAGTGAGATGGATGTTGTGGAATATTATTCGTCGCTTGTTGGGGTTCCTGGGGTTTTGGATGCTGCGATTGGTGCTCCAGAGGGCAACCTAGAACGGATTAGTTATGTGGTGAGCATGGCAGCAGCTGATTGGTGATGTGTAGATAGGCTATCATACTACAGATAGGATGGTAAGCATTTTCTTGTTGTATATTGTTTGATGAAGTGTGCAATTAATATCTTCAAATGAGAAACTAATGAAGTAAAATGTCAATGGAACTCTTTCCTAATAGGTTAGGCCGAATGGAACTTGAACAGTTTATAGGAGGGGTTCCTTTTAAACAGTTTGAGAAAATTAATAAAGCATGTATCCGCTCCCATACGCGTTAAAATGTCAACAATCTCTTAGCCCGTAACCCCTCCAGCGGACCTCCCAGTAAAACCTGCACTGGCGGGAAATTTAATTTTGGAAACTGCAGCCTGTTCAGCCTTGGGATCTACGCGCATCCCGTATCCTTCGCCGAGTTCTCCGTACATTCCTGGGACTGCCGTGTGTTAATTACTCGTATCATCACCGCCGTCTGTTGCTGCTGCTGTAACCGGCTATTGTCGGCCGGCCGGCAGCCATGTCTACCGGCGGGTGGTTTGACGCGATGAGCGTGCGACACTTCATTATGCAGGCGCTCGGGTTAGGTACGTGCGATCTAGTTCTGAAGCTCCGCGAAACTGAGCGTGCGACACTTCGTTTTGCAGGTGCTCGGCCTAGGTGGCGATCGGTCGGTAGAATTATTGTTATGTAAATCGGCCGACTTGCGAGTCATTTCTTCGCCGCCATGCGACTGTGCGCGCCGACTCGACCGTTAGGGTTGGTTGGATTCCGTCCGGTCAATCCATCGGACAGAATCGAACCAGCGGACGGAAACGAACCAGCGGACGGAAACGAACCAGCGGACGGAAACGAACCAGGCGGACGGAATCGAACCAGCGGGCTGGATGCGTGTTGTTAATGATTTTGAGCGCTGGTGCATGCTGGTTCTGGTTCTTCCTATTCTTCCTTGTGATGCCTGCGTCGAACTAAATATGTCAGTGAACAGTGAATTTTTGTGGAGACATTTGTCGGGTCCTCTTGATTTCGCGGAGATCTGTAGCGGGATCGTTATCCTAGTAGCTGATAAGGGTTTGTTTTTAGCATGGTAGGATGCCTAGTACTAGTACTATTCCGCAGCCCAATCACGACGAATTTCCCCCTTTCATCTAACTTGAAAAATCTGACACAAAATCTGACTCCCATAACACTCTCTGTGACTCTCTCTCTCTCTGTCTTCCCGTCTCTGTCTTCCCGTGTCTCTATATTCACCCATAACACTCTCCCCCTCCCTCTCTCTCACAAAATATACCTATCCCTCCACCCTCCCTCCCTCCCTCCCTCCCTTCGTACCTACCTACCTCTCTCCATCCCTCCCCTCCGTTTGTTCTCCCGCCATCCCCGCTATTGCACGTCTGCCAGGCATGATAGTGACGTCAGCGCTGGTGATCTGGAAGGGGCTCATGTGCTGGACCAATAGCGAGTCGCCAGTTGTCGTCGTGCTCTCAGGCTCCATGGAACCCGGCTTCAAACGAGTACGAGTTGTCCTGGCCTTATAACGAGTAGTATACAGAGGCTTATACGTATGTGCCTCCTTCCCGCTCTCAGTCGGCCCCCATGTAGTGGAATCTCCTTGACTTGTCTTCGCTCTCTCGGGATCCACGGAACCCGATTTCAAACGAGCACGAGCTTTGATGCGTTTGTAGCAACGTTTTGGGCTTGTAACGCGTACAGAAAAGCCTGAGAAGAATCAGTGCCGTCGTGGTGTATGCATGGGTTGCACCTGTCCCTGTAGTCAGGGAATTCGTGCCTCTCGCTTTCATGCATCATCTCACGTCTCTCTCCTCCCTCCCTCCCTCCCTCCCTCCCTCCCTCCCTCCCTCCCTCCCTCCCTCCCTCCCTCCTCCCTCCCTAACTCCCTCCTTCCCTCCTTTCTTTCTGCAGGGTGACATTCTGTTTCTCCACATGAACCCAACTCCTCTCTCTGTGGGGGAGATCGTTGTCTTCAACGTGGATGTGAGTCATGCCACGTGGATGTGAGTCATGCCACGTGCTGTCAGATAGCACGAGTCGCAGCATGCGCGGAACGCATAACTACGAGACCTCCTTTTTTAATACTTTCTTTTTTTGTCCAACTCTTGCACTTGTACTAACTGAAGTGGTTTGTGCTACCATGCGAAGATGCAGTAACATTTTACATGATAAACCTTTGGGTTCACCCCCCCCCAAAGTGCACCCTTGCTTTAACTCTATCCTTTGCCTTTTTATTCTCGCCCATTTTTTCGTGCTATTCCCTTCTGATATGCTTTTTTTCACACACAGGGCCGAGACATTCCCATTGTCCACCGTGTTATAAAGGTACATCTGCTTTTCTAGCCTTGCATCATGCACCGTTATACGCCACGTTTGTGAATGCATCGTTATATTTTCTTTGTTTCAACCTCAATATCTCGAACTGATGTTTTTCTTTGTGTAGCCTAATTGTGTGTTGGCCCTTTCAACCCCGTCCTTGATCACACACCCTTCACTGAACTTACTTTCCTTTCACTGGACACAAGAGCCTCTCGCAATTCATCCCTCCTCTCACTCCCCCTCGTCCGCCTGTCACACGTGTGCGTGTCCCCCCCCCCCCCCCCACCCCACCCCCAGGTCCACCAAGAGGCCGATCCTGACGAGTTTCAGGCGCTCACAAAAGGTAGGCTAGGGGAAAAGGGTAGGGTTTAGGAAGGTAGGCCAGGCGCTCTTGCTCTCAAGTTAGGTGCTCGGCAAGCTTGCTCAAAGGTCGTGTACTCACTGAAGGTAGGCCAGCAATTCGCATTCCCCACTTCGTTCCCCAACTGTCCCCGCCTCCCTCCATTTGCTTCACCACCTCTTGCCCCACATGCCTCCTTTCTTCCCTGCGCCCTCCCCGTCTCCTCCCTGCCTCCTCCCCGCCTTCTCCCTGCTTCCTCCCCGCCTCCTCCCTCCTCCCCGCCTCCTCCCTCCTCCCCGCCTCCTCCCTCCTCCCCGCCTCCTCCCTCCTCCCCGCCTCCTCCCTCCTCCCCGCCTCCTCCCTCCTCCCCGCCTCCTCCCTCCTCCCCGCCTCCTCCCTCCTCCCCGCCTCCTCCCTCCTCCCTGCCTCCTCCCTCCTCCCTGCCTCCTCCCTCCTCCCTGCCCCTTTGCCGGTGAACCTGTTGCAGGGTGCAAGCATAATGCTTGGTTAGTTTGGTCAATGAACTGCTTCGCAGAAGTCTTTCTTTCTTTCTTCCTTTCCTTCTTTCCTTCTTTCTTCCGTTCCTTCTTTCCATCTTTCTTTCTTTCCTTCTTTCCTTCTGTCTTTCTTTCTTTCTTTTTTCTGAGGGCGTGCCTGTGCCTCTGAGCAGGTGACACTAACGAGGGGGACGATCTGCCGCTGTACAAAGAGGGACAGCTGTGGCTCTTTCTACGAATTGCCTCATAGAACGAGCATGTGCCTGTGCCTGTGCCATGCCTGTGCCTATGAGCAGGTGACAACAACGAAGGGGACGACCTGCCGCTGTATGCAGAGGGGCAGCTGTGGCTGCGCAAGAAGCACATCATTGGACGCGCCATGGGGTGAGTTGAGGTGTCATTGGGGTGAGGTGGGTGGGGTGGGGTGCGGTATGCGGGTGTGGCCACACACTGTCTCCCAGGGAGGGGCAGCTGTGGATGCGCAAGAAGCACATCATTGGACGGGCCATGGGGTGAGTGGGGCGTGCATGGGGGGTGCATGGGGGGTGCATGGGGCGTGCTTGGGGGGTGCATTGGGGGTGGTGGGATGGGGTATCTAGTTGGGTGCGGGCACACACTGTTTCTCAGGGAGGGGCAGCTGTGGCTGCGCAAGAAGCACATTATCGGGCGCGCCATGGGGTGAGTTCACTGTCGGTAAGGTGAGTTGAGGGGTGGTGGGATTGGTTAACTCTGTACATGCGGGCACGGAGTGTTGCATGTATGGAGGGGCAGCTGTGGCTGCACAAGAAGCATATAATTGGGCACGCCATGGGGTGAGTTGAGGGGCGGTGGGGTGAATTGAGGGGTGGTGGCAGGTACCGGCCCTATATTTCTACATCACCGTTTTGTGCTTGCCATGCCTCCCCACTCTCTCATAGCATCAGCTGAACCTATTTCTACATCTTCCCCCCGTGCAGATACCTCCCCTATATCGGCTACGTCACCATTATAATGACTGAGCACCCCTACATCAAGGTTAGTCTCCTTCGAGTCGACTCAAAAGTCAGCAGGTACCTCCCCTATATTGGCTACGTCACCATTATTATGACTGCGCAGCAGCGCATCCCTACATCAAGGTACAGTAACACATTTACAGTAACACATTTTACCTCTGCGCTTCTCCTGCTTCCATATGCTCTCCCTGCCCTGCCCTTTCCCCCCTGCCCTCCGTCCTCCACACAAGTTGCACTTGCACTGCAATTGTTCCATCTGTTTAGTGTTCCTTCACTACACTTTACTTTGTAATTGTGCATATGTCGAACGCTTATTTCCTGTTTGCTTTTGTTCTGGTTTTGATCATGTCAATGTTACTTATTGTATGATGTAACATGTCTGCCTCCATTTTTCCTTTCCCCTGCGCTGCAGTTCATTCTTATCGGCGTTCTCGCTATACTTGTCCTCACATCCAAAGACTAGGAGTCTGTTGCTGATCTGTGTTTTTTCTCGGTTCATTGTGATCTATGTTGATGCAATATTGACAATGCTAACATTTGTATGTGAGACTCGCAAAGATATGAGTTGCTAATTAGGGGCATGCATACGCTGGCATGTTTGGTATGGGTATGTGGGTGGTAGTCTTTCTATATGGTGTCCCGTCCTGCCACAAACCTCCTATTAGGGCAGGTTGTGAACCTCCGTTGGGGATTGGCCCATACTACGGAGAAATTGCTAATGTTGACAACTGCCACTTGTCATCATCGTCTGTATCGCTGCGCATCATGAGGCGGTGCTTCTTTTCATACATACTTCGAGGAGTTAGTTCATGATCCATGACGAGGGGATATAGGAGTGCATTTCTCTTACAAGGGCTAGGCTAGCAGGTAAATCTACGATCGTGATTTGTAAGATGCATTAAATGAAATATCAGGACATTTCTTTAACCAAGATGTCCTCAAGGCTTCAAACAAATTCACCTAACGAAACCAAAAGAACGAAACCAGAATAGAAACATGGTACAGTGTGCAGTTTATACGGAAAGCCCGATTAGGGTGCCCGATTACAAATACCAAATCGCGACAGCGTTAGCAGCACGAGGAGCGCATGCAGTGGGGCAGTCGAGCACAACATTGCACTCGTTCTTCCACGACAGCGGCTTCATGCCCCTCCCGCAGAGGCCAACAGGGCAAGTCCTCCTGCAGCAGCGGTAAGCCTGGGGGGACTTCTTGGTGACGGGCACGTTCTCGACCTTGAGGCAGGTGAACGCGGGCTCCTTCTTGTCGCACACCGTGTTGAACAGCTTCGCAGTGCACGCCTTGCCGGCCTGCGAATGACGGCACGACGATGCACACGTCAGAACGAATGGAACATGCAGGAGGGTGTACGAAAAAATACTGCACGACCGCACCGAGAAAAAGGAAGTGTACTTACAATCTTGTTGGCGAGGCAGCGACCGGTTGTGAAGTTGCAGGTGCTAGCAGGCATCTTCTTCCTGCACGATTAAGAGGTAGAAAACCACGCACGAAGGAAAAGTAATGAACGCACGATAGAAAAGTAATGACACGCACGCACAAAAGGAAGCGACTGAACCACGCACGGATCAAGCGAATCGAAATAGAAGGCTTCAAACGACGCATGGACGGACAGCAGATCAAGGGACACTAACGATGTTCGATGGGAACGATATTTACACAGTAAGAACGCACTACGCTATGCGCACACACACGACGTGTGACAATTCAAAGGGGGCTGTGCAACGGGTTAAAAGGAGAAGATTGAAATGTATCGTACAGGTCGTAAGCAGCGCAGTCGTCGCAGTTAATGGCATCGGGGATAATGCTAACGAGGGTCTTGCATGTGGCGTAGAGGCCGCAGAGCTTGCTCTTTCTGTCCGGGCACTTGTCCTTGGGCAGGCACGCGTTCCTACGAATTTGCCCGCTAGCGAACTGCGCAGAGACCAATACGATAAGGAGCGAAACCAGGAGGACGCGTGTGCTAGCCATGGCTGCCGGAAACGAGAATCTAGGGTTCCTTGGAAATATACAAAACCTAAGAGCTCAGAGACCTGCTAAGAATTGGTAAATGTCTTGACCTTAGGGGAGTTGCTGCGTGATAGGTTCAGTGAAGTTCTAGATCTAGCACGAAAAGGAGACAATGTTTTGAGAGCGTTGGTACAGCTGGGAGTGGAGAGGTGGGAGCGAGGGGCCAAAAACGGAGGGGGTGGGAAACGCTCCGCGCTACGCGACAAGTGAAGGGAGACGAAAGACGTGCGGGCGAAACTCCGCTATACCTGGGTCTCTGGGCTGCCAGAGTCCAGCTACAGCGGCCACCTGTTCTGTTGGTTATCACCTGAATAACTATGCGCGGGTTGTTGAGGTGTAGGTGCGAGAGGGTTTGGTGCGGAGGAACTTTTGGTGGGGGAAGCGCAGGTGTTGGGAGGTCAAAGAAAAGACAAACTCCTACCTGAAACGTCTGTGTTTCGAACTGACGACAAGTTGTATCGTCACCGTCGTCAAGGAGGAATATATGCTTGAATCGATGCTTCGCAAATATATTCGTTTGCTGGCGCGATGTCATTGGCGAAACAGCATCAGGTTACAAGTGAAGGAACACATGTGAACGACGACGCAAGACGACAATAGAGCAAACGAAAAACAGTCCACTCACAACCTGGCTCTTGAATCACCACTTCACAAGGCAGTCACGAAAACAATTATGTCAATTCCGAACAGTAAATCTACAGAACATAAATGACAAAGAGGGAGCCACTAACTCGAATACTTCATGCTAATAAAACGCCTTTTAATTCAAATAATTTTGATACAGATAAAAAAAACGTTTTTTAGGAACAGGACAGCACAATCTTCTAAAATTGTAACGGTATGAAGGGCTTTATCGTCATGATTTAACCAAAAACTGTGTAGTGTTTCCACGTATCCATGGCGGTCTTTAACTCCCACTGACCAGCCTGAACGCCTTTGCGGCTTTTGATTTGGACCCACCCTGTTAGGCTAAGATTTTCCACTCCATTATACAATGTGGTGTAGGGGTAAAATCCCACAAACAGATGTTATCCTGACATATGGTTTTGATATCCATCACACGCTTCCATTTGTATGATTCCACCTGTCTGGATTATGCCAAAAACGAATTTACATGACAAGAATGCTCGACGAAGGACACAAACACCAACACAGGCTCCATATGCACCCAGAAGTGTGCCCCCCACCTATCCAACAAATCTCAGAGCTACCGGTATGCCCCATTATCCAGATGACTCATCACAAAACACCAGCTTCGCCAACTTTGGTTGGCCAACTAATATAGCTACTTCTAAAACCCAAGTACACCACAATGGCAGTAGCAGAAAAGTGTACACAGGTGTACACTCGTTACCATGCTGGACACTAGCACCTAAGGAACCTACCATCTGAAAGCAGACTCAGCAGCATCTCTCCTGTATCTGTAGAGTCGAGAAAGTCAGGCATAGCAAGGTACCGTCACCCTCCCCCTCTTGGAGGTCTCAATAGGGGTCAAGCATAACGCAGCCGTGAAGAGCCGTGAGAAACGGCTGCTGCTGCTGCCACGCCCTGTGACATGCGAAGAGATGGCATTAGCAGCCCCTCCTGCCTCACCATCGCCCTCCCCTTCTCCGCCCCCCTCCCCATGCTCCTCTCCCCCTCTTCCTCAGTACCGCTCTCGCTCTCCACTCCCACGTGCTCGCCTCTTGCTAACCGAACGGCATTCGCAATGTGACGGTCCAACAGCTGGGTGATTTCGTCCCCCTGTGAGGAGAAGAGAGAGCAAAGAGGAAGTGGAAAGAAGGGTTAGAAGGGAGAGCAAGGAGTGGCTTGCTTGCCAAACAGCATTGGCAAAGTGACGGTCTAGCATCTAACAAACATTACTCCTTGAACGGAGGATGCAAAGAGCAGAGAGCACAAAGGGACACACCACACGACCTTTTTCATCCCCACTCTCCTCCCCACCCACGCACCCCCACTCACCCCCTTGGTGGCGAATTCGAGCAAGCAGAACTGGTTGCGCATGAGTAGGTGGGGAGACAAAACACCCATTCGCACACCACTCTCACCCGCCACCACCGCACTCACTGGCCCACTTTCCCAACCACTTACACCCACCCACACACCCCCACTCACCCCCTTGGTGGCGAACTCGAGGGGGCAGAGCTGGTTGCGCATGAGCAGCGAGAAGTAGACTCGCCCGGGCTTGCCGGCATACTCGGCAATGTCCTTCAGCTCTGCCTCTAGGACGAGGGAATGGTCCTCTGGATTCAAAAAGTGCAGCTGTTTGTTTGGGGAGAGGGCAGGGTCAGAAGAAGGGGGAAGTATACAGTGAGAATGGGGCTTGCCAGCATACTCGGCAATGTCCTTCAGCTCTGCCTCTAGCACCAGGGAATGGTCTTCCGGGTTAAGGAAATGGAGCTGTTTTTCATTGTACAGGAGGGGAAGGCAGGGGAGAGAGGGGGATAATACAGTGAGTGTGGGGCTTGCCGGCATACTCTGCAATGTCCTTCAGCTCTGCCTCTAGCACGAGGGAATGGTCCTCCGGATTCAGAAAGTGCAGCTGTGGTCAGGGGGTGGATAGAGGAAGCGGGAAGTAGGAAGGTTGCCCCCTTCCTACTCACACATTGCACTCTACCCCCAACCCTCTCCCTCTACCCCACTCACCCCGTTGTGGTTGATCCCCACTTCCATGCGCTTGGGGAAAGATGCGGCAATGTCGGGCTGGGGGCGGAGGGGGAAGAGACGGCAACACTCCTAACCACAGCACACATTTCTCCCCCCCCTCCCCCCCTCCACGCACACACAGCACCCACACCCACTCACCCCGTTGTGGTTGATCCCCACTTCCATGCGCTTGGGGAACGAGGCAGCAATGTCGGGGTGCGGGCAGAGGGGGAAGAACACAGAGCAACTCCTATGGAACAAGGACCAATCCCTCCACACACACACACCCCACTCTCTCACCCCGTTGTGGTTGATCCCCACTTCCATGCGCTTGGGGAAGGAGGCGGCAATGTCGGGGTGGGCACAGAGGGGGGAGGCAACAAGGGCGCCCCTTGCACAATGCACACCTACCCCTTCCCCTGCTGCAACAGAGCACCCACCCACCACACGCACAGCACACCCCTACTCACCCCATTGTGGTTGATCCCCACTTCCATGCGCTTGGGAAAAGATGCGGCAATGTCGGGGTGAGGGCGGAGAGGGAAGAAGACAGAGCCGCCGTGGGGGCTGTCGAGGATGATGCGGCTGAACTCGCGCATTGTGCCCTCGTGATCCAGGGACCACTGTGGGAATGGGGGGAAGCAAAAGGGGGAGAGAATGAGAACAGGAACAACGAGTGGCAGGAAAAGGGAGGGAGCCGCCGTGCGGGCTGTCGAGGATGATTCGCGTGAACTCGCGCATGGTGCCCTCGTGGTCGAGTGACCACTGCAGATGGGGTGGGGTGGGGAGGGGTTGGGAAGGGAGAGAACTTCAGAGAACATGCACGAGGCAACATGGGTCGACACGGATCAGCACGGTTCAACAGGTGTAGACATATTGGACGGCACAAGAAAGCAAGGGATACGGATCGGATCACAAAATGGGCAGCAGTCTACCGGGAAGCACTAGGCGGCACTCAGCACAGCTTTTCTACTGGGCAGCACTGGGCGGCACTCAGCACAGCTTTTCTTCTGGGCAGCACTGGGCGGCACTGGGCGGCACTCACCAGCGTCTTGTACTGGGCGGCGATCTGCTTGGCCCACTCGTCCTCGCTCATAGCGCCCGCTACAATAGCTGGCACGGATTTAGTCATCAGCGCCAGCCACTCGCTGTAGAGGGGAGAGGGGGAAAGGGGGCGGGGCAGGGGGAGGAGAGAGGGGGGGGCGAGAGGAGAAGGGGAGGTTGCGTGCCTGCCGGCCACAAAAAGAAAAAGAAAGAAAGACGAAGAAAACCGCCTGCCACAGGGACAAACGCAGCAGAGAGACTCAGCAGAACATTAGCACTGTCCTGACCAGGTAGCAGCTTTTTGAGACGTCTAGAAAATTAACTGTACAAACGTAGCACCACTGTCATGACCAGGTAGCGGCTCTCCATGTAGTCGCGGAGCAGCTACCCATCCAACCCAACCCAGCCCGACCCAATCCAGCCCAGCCCAGCCCAACCACACAAGGAACTCACGGCGCGTCGAGTGGGTCGGGGATAACGCCGATCTCCGCGGCGATTTGCAGCGCTGCGAGCACCACCGCGCCTTCCGCGGTGACGAGGTAGCGGCTCTCCATGTAGTCGCGGCGCAGCTGCACGTAGCAGAGGCGCACGAACTGGCGCTCTGCCACGTCAGCATCGGCGCGGTCGAACCAGGGCTTGCGCAGCAGCAGCTTGCAGACCACCTGCTGCCCGCGCGACTGCCCGACTTGTGCGGCGGTGCCGTAATCGACTAGAAGGTCCGATATGTACGCGCTGCGGGGCAGCAGCACGTGCTCTGGAGTGGAAGGAGGGGCAAGGGGGCAACGTGGTAAGCTGTTGAGTTGAGAGCGTGGGTAAGCAGGGAGAGTTGGGAGGGGAAAGCAGAAGCAGCGGCGAATACAACCAACCAGTCATAATCCCCGTTACACTTACCCACGACGGCTGGCGGAATGGCGGCGCCCTTCTTTCCGCCGGGTGCGGGTGAGGCGGAGCCGGCGGGGGGCGCGGAGCCGACGAGCGGGCGCGTGGCGCGGCTGGTGTAGAGGGCGAAGGGGGAAGTGGCGGAAACCTGCAGCTTCTTACAGAGGATCTGGGGGAGCGGGGCGGAGAAGAGGGGAGCGGAGCGGGGCAGATGGGCGGGGAAGGGGATGCGAAAGAGTAAGCGGAAAGGTAGCCGGAGAGTCGAGCTTCAAAGCTCTACGTTCCGGGTTCAGGGGATCGGGGTTCAAGGCCCAGGGTTTGAGGTTTATAAGCCGCCTTACCTTGACCGCCTCTTCCGCCGTGGTGGTCGGCCCATAGTGGATATTCTCCGG